GGCACCCTTGAATTCCCATAACTATTTGTTTCCTTGGTTTGATGTTCATTTCCCAGTTCACGTCCTCCATTCAGGCTTTCTTTCAGCAGTGAGATACTACTTTGCCAACCCCTTCTATCTACTAAATGCTGAAAAAACATATCTAGTGGCTTTTCTCTTGGGTCCATATCCGCTGCTGTAGGCACTCTTTCTCCACAGGTCATATTGTATTTAAAAGTTGAAAGATAATTTCTTAATCTAGATTTTAAAAGTAATTTATATGCATGTGTTCTTTTTGATAATTAACAATTTAATTTACAGGATCATGGTAGTTGATATTCTTCATCATTTATCTGTATGTCTTTGATATTAAGACTCAATGGCAAACAGAGATGCTTAGAAGAAATGTGTAAAGTTTGAATTTTGACCAGCAGAACGCAAATTGAAACATTTTCTCTTGATCAAAATACAGTTATGATATCTCGACTGTCACACTTTGAGTGGACTCAATATGTTAGGAAATGCTATCCAACTGTCTTTGGTTTCTGAAAATGGAAATCACAGTCATTCACTTAAAAAAAAAAAATCATTTTCTGAGGTCAACTATATGTCCTAAACTTTGTTCACACAAGTTTTTATGTGTTTATGAGTCTGCAAACACACCCAGGTGTCACCTGGAGTACAAAATGCCTTGCTGATAAGGAACCTGTGTACCTCAAGAGACACAAGCTTTGTTTTCCTGCATAGCTCAAAACTCAAGTACTCTAGTGTAAATACAGTTCACTCCAAAGCAAACAGAACCACTCTGCTCTGAACCTATTAATGACACAAGTGAGTTCCATTTCAGTTTTGTTCATTTCAAGTGTTCATTTCATTTCAAGTGCAGAACAAAGTACAAGTAGCAATGTATTCCACAACCTTCATACTTTGCTAGGGTCCAGAGTGGATTTGATTTATGATCTGTGGACAGACTGTGCCACAGGTTAACTTTCCTCTTTCTCTGATGGTAAAAGTGGAAGGAGCTGCTGGATTTAAACTTTTCTTAGCTGAACTCAGTCACCTCTCAGTGTGTTTTTCTGTAGAGTGGGCAGGGATCTGTCGTCTAGGTAATGGAGAGTACTGCATAAGTCCAGTAGTCATAGGAAGTATAGGATTTAGATAAGAAAAGGCCATATGAATAGATTTTGACAAGTTTCTTAATGTTTAAGAAAATTATAATTTTACATCTATAAATATTTACATAAAATGAAAATTGTATTTGAATTTTTTTTGTGAAGCAACTGAGTAACAAGTTATAATAGTTTAATTGCACAAGCGATTTGCTATTCAGAGGGCAATCTTACAGAAGGGGCTGTAAGAAGTAACCATTCCTCAGGACTGTTACTTGAGAGGAAGCAGGTTTGTCCAGAAGACAGGGGATAGGAGAAGTCACCCTTTATGAAATGACTAAGAAGAGTTAAGAGGCTTGCAGGATTACTCAGTTCATGAGGAGCTGGGTTGGAAGGCAAAGGTCCCAATTCATTTGGGCTCTGTAGCAAAAATAATCAAATAGACACAGACAGCTGTTTAGAATCATGTTCAAGTAAGTGAAAGGCTTGCTGAAGCCAGAGTGCTGATGGCAGGAGAGACAATGCTCCTTCATCAGCACCAAAGGAGTCTGCAGTGGTGAGCTGAAAATCCAGACCTCAGCATTCATTAAGCCAAGGTTGAGATTGCTAATTTTAGACACAGCTGCTGCTGTAATACACTTTATATTTAAAGAATGAGCCAGGAGCCCCGTTTGTTTAGATCACAATGAACTCGGACCAGCACCACCAGCTTTAAAAGTAGAATACTGGAAATGAAAGAGTGCAATAGTGGAATCAGACCTCCGTCTCTGTAGGTAACTTGGATTTACAAACCCATGGACAGAAATAAAGAGAAACACTGCGTCTGAAAGAAAGTGTTATTAGGGTATGGTCCCTGCTTACCACAGGTTTGTTGTGCACTGTAGATGCAATAATAAATGTAAAATGTATAAAGGTGCAGACATAAAATTACTGAACTCCAGTGAACCAGAGACAGTTGCTTAGATTATCATTGAACCAAAAAAACCCCAATCCTATATAAAGAAGGGAGTTAAAGAGATAAATATCATTTATTTCCTCCTGCCAGAGATCTACTCCCAAAACACACATTCAAAGTTGTCATTTATATCGTACCTATTATTAGGAGACAGACTAGGAAAATTTCTGGGCTTTTATGAACTGATTTAGTAATCTTATGATTGTAAGTGTAGCCCCCCAAAATTCAGAAGAGTTTTACCTATTACAGTCTTTCCTTTCTTCAAATATCCAACTGGAATACCAGCAAATCCTTTTTTTTGTATGAACTGCGAGGAATTTTATGGCCTTTACCTCAGTATGCTAGAAATAAAATATATTGTATTTTAAAAATATAAAATATAAATAATATATGTGTATATGTATAAAAATGTAAAATATATAACATATAAAACCCAATAAATAAATATCAATATAAAATAATTAAATATAAATTATAAATAATATCTATGTATTTCAGCTGAAAGATAAGAAAGGCCATATCAGTTGCACATTTAATTATACATTATCCATATAGTACACATTTGTAAGCACTGAATAAACTCATGAATGCTACCTTGAAAATGCATTTCTTTTAGATCAGTATTAGAACACTATTTTCCCTCAGGAATTTTGGCCCTAGGCAGTTGACTACAGAAAATACTGGCCAAATGTTGCTATCCTTTTATTTGGATTATCTCTGCATTGTTCAAACCATAAAAAAAGACAATGAAATTTGAATCTGGCATCTGTACTCTAGTAAGAATGGTACATTTCATTTCCAAAATTATTATATATTCTAGACCAGGATAGAGATGGCTTGAATTTCAAACCAAAGTTTCAGTTTGGAGAGCCAGTAGTTAAAAAAACAACCTGAGCTTGTGCTCAACAGAACGCAAACACTTTACTCATCAAGCAAACATCCAGTTATAACAGACATTTTCTGTGTCCTATCAGCATATCACCATATATTACTCAACAGTACAAAAGCGGTATTAGTTACACTCCTGTACAATCTGAATTTATCTGTTTATAGCTTTATGGGTGCTGATTGCTTGATTTATAACTTCTTGGTGAATGTTTCTCAGAGCAGTGACTTAAGTGTAGCTCAAACAGGAGTCCAGCATAGAGAGATCTCTGAAGGAGTGGGCCATCTATGAGTGCCTTCCACCCACAACGTCAGTAAAGGCAGAATGGAGCCATAGGTCAGTGAGAATTCCAGAAACAGTGACAGAGGTAAAACAGGCTCCAAGAACTGACTCAGTCTTTTGTGAAGACAGAGGAAGAAATTATTAGCTGAACAGAAACAACAGGAGGATCCTTTTACTTACACAAATTGTATCAATTAAACTGAAATTGATGCAAAAAACCCCCAGTGCAGTTAAATCTGTGCAAAGCCCAATGAGATATAATTACACTGTCTGAAAACAGCTAAAGATCTTTAGTTTCTATGTGCAAATTTACAGAACCTAATGTATTCTAAATTAAGGGAATCTGCATAGAATTCTGCTATTTGAGAGCAGCCATTTAGTTAATTAATTTAAATTTTTTTCTAGATATAGGCTTGGACAGAATAAGCCTTGAGATAAACATGCTTCACACGCATCCCAACAAGACAATAGCATTTCATATCAGGCAGTCACCTCTGCTTTGTGCTGGGTAGCAGTGTAAGCAGCCTCCTGTAGTGTCACTGTGAGGCTCAACTGGCCTCAAACTGATGCCTTAGGAGAGAAAGGTTTTCTGTAATTTTCCTCATTCTTTAAGCTTTTCAAGCTCCCTAGCTTTCAGCTGATTACAACACCACAGACTGAGCATTAGGTATTCAGTGAATTGCAATTGCTGTTCATCAGAGAACTCTTGCATTCAGGAAAGTGGGAGGAACCAGATTTAGGTACTTGAGGACAATTACATCTATTGGGGTAACTGTGCAGCAAAATCTGCTCTAGACAGCACTCAGTAGAATGGTTGAACTGCTGAGTTTTCTTCTTTTATTATTTGATTTATCTTTCTTGGGCATTTTTTGGGAGGGGTGTTTTGGGCTTTTTTTATTTGTTTGTTTGGGTTTTTGTTGTTGTTATTTTCTTCATTGCACTGTCCCCCTGCATGCGTATCAAGCTGATTCCGTCTCTTGGGAAGCATAAATTCATCCTGCAAAAATTAAGAGAGTGTCTTGAAGAGACACTTTCTGACCACCAGCCAGAAATAAAGTTGTATGCAGTATTATCTGTCATTTTGAGGGTGTTGCATGTCACACTGATCATTGACAAGCCCTATAATTGGCATTGTCTGCTGCAGATTTAATGTGGGAAATGTCTTGTATAAATATAAATATATAAATAGTCCCTATGATCAGCCTCAGTGTGCCTTGTCAACAGGCAGCAGGTGAGGTATCCAATGCTGGCTGCAGATGGAGTGAAATCTCTGTCAGAATGAAACACAGGAGCACAGAGCACTAGCAAGCCAGTCATAGGCATTACCAACCAGGTGTGCATCACTTGTACCCTGAATTTAAGGCAGAAGTAAAACAAACTATTGGTGAGATTGCCTGCAAATGCCCTTAGAAAGAATTTTAGCTTCCCTGTATTAGCAATTAAGAAAATATGTTGCTTTTCTTCCTCAGGCAGTCCAGCCCAGAAAGGGCAGTGTCTCCCAGGCACTTTTCAGAGGTACAAAGCATGCAAGTAGAGGAGAGAAATACTGGGCTTGCAAAGTGATCAGTTTGACTCTCAGGAATATGGGATACAGTCACATCCCACTGGAATAAAATGACAAGTCATTTCCTTGTCATTCTTTCCATATGGAAAAGAGGTTATTAATATTTGTCCCTCACTGAAAAGCCTTAATCCATACTTCGGTTCACCTTTCACAGAGTACCTGAGATGGCAGTATGTTGAAGTGACAGAAAAGTCACAGGAAAAGTCACATAGCAAGGTTGGGAGGATGTTCATGATGCTGCAGGGCCTCACACTTGCTGTGGGTAAGGAGAGGTCAAAGAATGTGTGAATGAATGGATGATTTTATCAGAGGGCTGCTTTCTTTCCAAGACAGATTCACATTTTGTCAGAATTATACAGAGCAGCACTAGATTCAGAGCAAACCCCTTGTCTGCAGAAGGAAAGCATGTGAGTACATGGAGGGTCCCCTGCTTAAAAATAAGGGATCATTTTCTAGGCTTCCATGAAGTCTCTGTCAGTTGCTGCCAGTCCAGAAAAAGCAGGTGGATCATTCCCACTGACACTTGGGCCTTTACTGTTCTGTTCTTTTGCAGCATTTCTTGCACTGGGGTCTGAAACAAATAGCTCAAAGGCAGACAAATTCCTACTCCACTTGGGTTTTGTGAGTGATGAGAGTCAAAGGAGTATCATAAAGTGTACAGTGCTTCCTTGCACAGCCAGGAAACCTCAGACCATGGCTTTTTTTTTTTTTTTTTAATCTAAAAGGAGGGTGTTTTATCTAAAAGGAGGATGATTTATCTAAAAAGAGGATTAAGCAAGACCAATATGGTATCAGTAATATTTCAGCAAGTTCCTGAATTATGCCCATGACAACTTGACTGTTGTGTGTAAATTGAAATGTTATCTGCTCTGCTGACGGCTAGTTTCAGAAAGAGAGAAAATTCAGTCAGAGTGAGAAATCTCATATAGATTAGCAGTAAAAGCTGGGCAGGAGTTTTAAAATGGAAAAAGTTGTCTTGCTATCTATATCAGAAAAAAAAATATCCCTTTACATTTCCAGATTTAATTAATATAAAAGAGCAGCAAGAAAAATTTCCAAAATCACATCAATTTCTCTAGCAAACAGCAAAGGGTGTCAAATAAAGTGGCACAGAGAATGAGCCTTTAGGTCACAGGTGCTTTTTGCACGGTAGACAGCCCAGGGAACATGCTACGTGGTTGGACAGATTTTTACAATCGCCTCCACCCTCTTGTCTATATATTCACTTGATCCACCATAGGTCATCCCATTTTTCTCCTAGTTCAGTACAGCTGGTGGATTACTATGCAAACTGAACTACACAGAAGATTCAACTTTGTCTTCTAGCATGGGAACCCCCTGGCACTTACAATACATTTTAATTTTACTCTGTATTTCAGTGCTGAATACCACAGGGTAAGTAGCACAATACTGAATGTATCTTAATTCAGGAAGATTAGCTGTTAGTGATTAATATCCTTTCTTCACTTTTAAAATGTGGAATGTTTCTTCCCTTTTTAAATTATGAATATACAATTGAACCATGTCATTTTTAAAAGGAAATCATATAAATTTGTGGTTACCTAATTCTGCTCTGGCTTCTGCCTGAGAAACCTTTAACACCTGGATTTCTAATGGAACATCTGAAAAGAAGAGATCTGGACAAATAGCCACAATACTTTAAAAACTCTCTTGACTCTGGATATACCTACAGTAACTTTTGCTTTAGGATTTGCCTGATGTGTAACAGTTTTAAGACAGCACTGAATAGAGACTGAGTGGCTTCCCTTTCATGGCTTTCCCTTTCCCATGGAAGAAGAAATCCAAGAAGAACAATGAAGAAAACTTTCTTACTTTGTCTTTTACCTATTCTTTTTCCTCCTTAGCCTAATATCAATATCTGTTTTCCAGTTGCTTGCTGCATTTCATTGCATCATTTCACAATAAATTAATTATTATATTTGCTCCTAATCTCCCTAATTTTCTGAATGTCATTACTTGGATTTTGAGCAGTGCAGACATTCCTTGTGCTGCATTCACTTAAGGACAGATTCTCTATACTGTGTCAAGTACAATAAGTATAATTAAGGAGGGAGCACCACAGAGTTTGGAACAGAACCCTGCCTCAAGAAATTGGGGATCATCCCTTCCCCATGCAAAACACCCAAAGAGCAGAGCCATTTACGTTCTGATCTGTGGTGGGATTTTGGTCTTGCATCAACTCATCTCTGCAAGACTTTGTAGCACACAAGGACTGTACATTGGTAACTGCTTTTGTTTTGCAGCATTTTTAGGGCAGATTAGAAGAACTGCATGAAATGAAACCTTTGTGTCATGAGAGATTTTCAGGGGTTAAAGGAAATACGTAGCCTTTCAGCAAGTAACCAAGTTACACAGAGCACTGGCTTACTGGCATTGGCATGCTTTGCTTAGCAACAGTGGGGACAATAATGCCATGAATAAGTTTCTAGAAAGTCTTTGCTATTATCCTGGTGCTGTCCGAGCTGAGATATATCCATCCACCCCCCTGCAGCTCTCTGTGCCCAGGAGAATTCTCCTCATCTAAGTTCAGTGGGATACAGAGCAAAGGATCCTTTTCACCTTTGACTCACTCTCAGAGCTTTGCCATGAATAAGTAACAAGTTACTTCCAATATGGGAAGAGAAATTCAAACATGGGTGAAACCCTGGATCTATTCAGTTATTCAGTGAAATGCTCAGAGGCATAAGTTGAGGTCACAATATTCTTACTTAAACAGTTTTTGAGTCACCAATTCCACAGGAGCTTCACTCCGTTTTTTTCTCGACAGGATCAAGCAAAGACCAAGAGGTGGCTTGAGGATATGGGATCCTGAAACAGGTAACTGCATGGCATTGGTGCTGATAAGTATCCAAGGTACATTTTGGACATGTTGGCTCCTCTTCCTCACTTTTATGTGCTGTATTTCAGCTTACCTCACCGGATGTGACTTTAACAATAACTCAAGGCCGTTCTGTGACTGGACTCAGCCTTGCAATGTCAACCAGGGAATGTGGATACGAACCAAGCATGACACTCCAACTGAAGGAACAGGTCCTGAGGGAGATTATCCTGATGGAAGTAAGTGCTCATTTGTGGCCTTGTTGAGTCTCGTTTTCTGAAGACAGCTTGACTACCTTTATTCTTCTTTTCTTGAAAGAGAAAAGAGATTCATTAAGCCCTTCGAAATGTGTCTTGTTTCTTTCATACTGACACCTGTCTTCAACTTTTCATCAGATCAGACAGGAGTTTATTAAACTGACTTGCACATCATAGATTGGATATCTTTATCAGTGCATGGTAGTAAAGGAAAGCAAATTGTATCACGCTTAAGGCCTCACGGAGAATAAAGTAACATGGAACAGATAATTTTTCAAGAGAGGGCTTCTGGCCAAATTCCACTGATACCAGTTTATGGCAACAAATGTAATAATTACTGCGCTGGCACAGGATAAAGTTCACACCAGCTAGTTACAAAACCAAGTCTGAAATTGAAGAATATTTTTTAAAACCTTGTCCTTTGATATCTGTGATTTAAAAACTGGAGTCTAACATGGTCACAGTATCAAACAAATACTCCACAATTGCGTCTCTGTGTGTTTGAACCGCTATCCTTGCCTCAGCAGATCCATTTAGAGAGATCAGTCTGCAGTCATACAGCTTCCTGTAATTACCCCAAGACTGAAAGGTCAGCTACTGTCAGAGTCAGTAAGCAGATTAGAACAGTATTAGTTGGGATTGTTGCTAAATAATTTTCTGCATTTTTTATATTTTGATAATAACAATTAAAATTGCCTGTTGGAAGAAAAAATGAAGCATTTTTAATTTGTATTAACATAAATAATAATGTTTTGCTTTTTAATTGACATAGACCATATCACTTTAAATGTGATTTAGATTTTCTTGCCAACTTAAATCTATGACTGAATGTTAGATGCATTGTGTGAAGCCATACTTTACCAGACAGAAATGGTCATTAATTTATTCTTGATTCTTTTCCATAGTCAAATGGGAGAGACCTGAATTTAGCTGCACTGGGGAAAGGTGACTTTGATCTTAGCCCACGTGAAGCAAAAGATTTCAGCCCTCATAAAGCAAGATCTGATTTCATATTGAACCAATCAGACTAGAGTATTTCAAATCCTAAAGAAACACAAGTTCCTGAATTTTGAAAAATTTCCTTCCTTTTCGCAATGTCAAATTTAAATATTTTGAAGGAAATATCAGCATTGCTTTCTATTTCTTCTATTTAGAGAAAAAACAAAATGCTGACAGTTTAGAATTTCCCTTGTGGCAAGGATTAACTCATCTCAAGACCAAAATATTTATTTAAAAAATGTATCCCACAAAAGAACATGTGTAGAAGATTGCCTTATTTTCCTTTGGGGAAAGTAGAAACTGAATACAGATCAGTGTAGCAGTGTCTGGAAGTGCTGTCTCTTGAAAGAGTCCCACATCTTTAACTGTGATCCCAAAATAACTGTTCTTGTGAGATGAAATATATTTGCTTTGCTCTCAGGCTCACACTCTACTTTGTATAACTGCACGAGTTAATCATTGCAATGTGAAGTCCAAACACCCTTTGCTTTGCTTTTTTACACTGATAATGATGACTTAATTTCTTCCAGATTTGGAAGAAATTAAGAAGATTTGGATTGTACTTCAGTTTTAAATGATACCTAATAAGTTATCAGAAGCTTAACCATATTTTAATTTTTGTTTCACTCTGCAGAAGGTTATTTCATCTACCAAGAAGCAAGTAATCTGATCCCCTTCGACACCAACAGGCTGGAGAGCCCAGATACTGTCGTTTCTGGAAAAATATGCATAGACTTCTGGTACTACATGTTTGGATCAGAAGAGATGAATGAGCTGAGAGTGATTGTCCAAGATGACACAGGGGAGTCTGTGGTGTGGCATCGGAAGGGAAACCAGAGTTCCTTGTGGAAATATGGTGCCATCACTCACAGTATTCCAACACAGAGGAAGATAAAGGTAATAGATTTGCAAAATATATTTCTTTGTACAGTGTCAGCATTTGTTCTCACCTTGCAGGCTGCAAAATGTTGTGCACGTAAGCTAGAAAATATAACCAGGATTTGCTTAGATTGTATTTTGTAAATAGAATGGCCTCATTATTTCTGTCTACCAGAAATAAGAGGTTTCTTCTGTGAGAGAAGAAACCACCAGCCTCCTAGTTTCGCCAGTGCTGTTAGTTACGGGGTAAAATTCACTTTACTTTTCTCTCTTTTTCCTTCCTTTCCTCCTTAATTTTATCATGAAGTGAAGGACTTTGTATATCATAATTAAATTAAGGTTTGTCTGCTGTGAATTTCAAGGTTTGAACTTTGGGATACCACCTGTGTTGGACTCCTTTGTAGAATCCAGACCACTAATTCTCATTAATAATTTGTAAGTCAGTGAAATAGAGGACAAGGTTTCTTGCAGTCCTCACCTTATTACAGAGTATATATTCCTTTAGCTGTTGTAACCTCATTTTGCTGGTTGCAATTTTTAGCAAAAAAAGCAGACAGGTTAGTTAGAAAACATGCTAAGAGAAATGATTTTGTGTTTGCCAAAACATCTCTGATGCAGAGATCACTTTGTGTCCTGCCTAGGTAATTTTTGAGGCTGTCCGAGGACTGACAGAGTATGGGGATACAGCACTGGACAATGTGAGAGTAAGGAATGGACCCTGTGGTAAGTCTGTGTTTGCATCCAAGTCTGTGCTAATTTCTCATCTCTGTTTAGAGCTGAACAAAAAATTTCCATTACTCTACTCCATATACAATATAGCAACCCCTCAGAACTTCAAACCACAAAAGAGAAATGGCAAAAACTTTACAGCTCACTTTATTTCTATGTTATGTGTTTTGCTCTAATTTTTTCCTAAATCTTCCCTCATCGCCACCAACATCCAAGACAAGCTACCCCTTTCTCTGCAAATGTGACCTTTTTCACCAGGTCCAGCAAAATTTACCTTCACTTCTGAGGCTGAAGTGCATCTCTAAACCTAGACAAGGCTTTGCACACTGATCTTGGCTTCCAGATTAAATGGTCTAATTGCCATTTTATTGCAAATATCAGTTCATGAAAGCTCATTAAATACACAGTACCACCATATGTCACAAAAAGAAATAACAACAAGTCAATAACACTGAGTGGCACTACCAGCTTTGACTATGAATCAGCAATTTGAGCTCGATCTCTGACCCTGTAACAGATCAGCCAAGACTAGTACAAGCTGTGCATGGCTAGGATCCATTTTTATTGACAAGCATAAAATACCTACAGAATGTGAATTGACCAAGAAAATTGCTGAAAAACTTACAGGAAGTTTCATTAGGTCTCAATAGGTGTTGTTCTCTGTGAAATATTACTAAGGTAATGACATAACATGTTTCAAATTTACAGTACCTGTGACAAAGATTTCCTTTCAGGTCCAGATCATCTGATCATATGATTTTATTTAAAATTCCATAAAAAAGACTCAGGGCCTTATTTTGTTTGAGGGCTAGGGAGAGCCAGTTCTTCATTTTCCCAGTTGTATTAGCACATGATTCAGCCACTGGATGGTGCACAAAGGTAATGCCAAGGGACAAGAGCTTCTCTGTTCATCTCACTCTTACACATGCCAGCACCTGCTGACAGTAGGTCCTTCATGTGTCTTAGCACACACCAGAGGGAGTCACACACCCAATTGTAACTACAATTACAGCTCCTGAGAGGAGCCCGAGCTCAGTCACTGCGATCTAACAATCAGATAAGCTTTCCTAAGAGATAAAAAACCCCACACATCCCCATTTTTAAACACAGGCCATTCTACTTGCTTCACTGGAGAACTTCTAACTTCATGCTGGTGAGGAGTAAGTGAAAATTCCTGCATGATGGTGTGTAAACAGTGTTCACCCTGTAATGTCAAACTCATTGTATTGCTTTCTCTTTTCCACTAACAGAGGCTGTCCCTACACCTGTACCACCAACACCTACACCAACAGAACCTACACCACTTCCAGTGACAGGTAATTTTAGCCAATCACGTATACTACTCAATGAGTTGTAGGACACTTAGATTTTTTACTAGCAGTACTGCTTCTTTGCTTTAGTTAATTTCTATGGTTGCTTTATGCCATACAAATCAGCCTTTTCTGTTTCAGTTATTCCAGGTGTAATCTACAAAATGAGGGTGATTGTGCAATGGGAGGATACAAGAAGATGGGCTTTTGGGATGGATCTGTATGTTAATGACAGCATATTCCTTTTTCCTGTCTCCAGAAGCTATTTGCAGTATACATGGGGATCCCCACTACAACACATTTGACAAGCAACGTCATGACTTCATGGGCACCTGCACCTACACCCTCTCCAAGCTGTGCGAGAGCAACAGCTCCCTGCCCTACTTCAATGTGGAAGCAGCCAACGAGCACAGGGGAGGCAACACACGTGTGTCCTATGTCCAGTACGTGGATATTGATGTCTATGGCTACAGGATCAACCTTGGTCAAAAAAGAGCTGTTAAGGTAAGGTTGGAGCCCAGTCTATCCTTCATAACTCATAGCATGAATGAAGATTTTGTACAGTGACTACAAATTTCCAGCATCTATACAATAATTTTTAGAGGGCAGTCAGATATTTAGGAGCAGGAGTACTGTGGAATTCCTAAACTTGGGAATTTCAAAACTGAAAGCATAGGCTAGAATTCTGTGCTGTGTTGTTGAAAGGTGGGCTAAGAGCTGGCAATCCAGGTGGGTTGGTGGGCTAGACTACCTTTCTAACCTGCTCCCCTATGCTCAAGTTTGTCATGTAACAGGGACCAAAGAGGCTCTGAATTACCTAAGTTCATGCTGGTACTCATTTCCCAGTCTTGTGTGGTAGTTTATAATGCTGAACACTTCTCCCTGATTTCTACTTATTCCACTTCACTGTTAACTTGACTTAACATCTGGCTTTTGCCATAAAGCAGGGTCAGGTGGCAGTCCTAGAGTGACAATCTCATGACTTTCCTTACACCAATTGTACACTTGGCCTGCTATTGCATCCTAGGACTTCTTTCTGGATCCTTTCCATAAAGGGCCAAGACAGTAGAAATGGTTGAGCCAAATCCCCTGCATATCAGCAGGTCACCTTGCTTCATTATTACCCTTCTTGTAAGAAAATACAACAGTGGTTTAAAGGAAGAAAAGGATTAAAGGTACACTGAAACCTTTCCCATCTCATCTTAGAGACATAGAGAACTGATATGTCCTCATTTATCCAACAGCCTCTCTCTTTACCTTATCCGTCTATTTACTGGTTTTATTATAAATAAGAATAGGTCTGTAGGCAGTTGCTGCAGACAGATCACACTTAGTCTTGGACTTTTGCCAGCTATATCTGGCTCACCAAGACCACACTAGTAAGTTATGTTGTAGCCATGCTGTTATGCCCTCAAGCCTTAGATTATGCAGCCATATACACACATATATTAGCACAGAGTGAGGTCTTACTGCTCACTGTGTCAATATAGGGATCTAAGAGGGTCATCATTAAAAATGGTCAAGTGCTTACAATACTTGTCCTCCTCTGTGCCTGCAGGTCAATGGAGTCAGCCAGGTGGTCCCTGTGACTTTGGACCCAGGTGTCAGTATTTCCCTCAGTGGGCAGTATGTTGTGGTTACTACTGACTTCGGGCTGCAAGTCAAGTTTGATGGAAACCACAGAGCAGAAATCACTCTTCCCAGCACCTATATGTCTAAAGTCTGTGGAATATGTGGAAATTACAACGGGCAAAAAGCAGACGACTTTCTCAACCCAGATGGAGAGATGGAAGCAAACTCAACCAGCCTTGGCAACAGTTGGCAGGTTTACAATGACTCCAGGTAGGACTCCTGCCAGGATATCAGGTCTTACCTATTGGCTATATAATGACCAGTGTTTTAAGCAACTCTTCTTTGAAGGCCAAAAATGTCTGACATGTGGGATAAAATCTGTCCTTGTCATTGTTCTTACTTTATGCATCTGGGTAAAGTTTCACAGAAAATTTGACTGTGCTTAAAAAGAGAAAAAATTCTAAGACTCTTAGAACTGTTTAAGCTGCAAAAGACCTATAATGTCATTGAGTCCAACGGCTGACCCAGCACTGCTGTATCCATCATAAAACCATGTCCCCAAATGCCACATTTAGGAATCTTCTCAATTCCTCCTGCGATGGTGACTTCACCATTTCCCTGGGCAGCCTGTTCCAATGCTCAACAGCCCTTTTGGAGAAGAAATTTTTCCTAATACTGAATCTAAACCTCCCCTGGTGCAGCTTGAGGCCACTTCCTCTCACCCTGTAACCTGGAAAAAAGATTGTCCCCCATCTCACTACAACCTCCTTTCAGGCAGCTGCAGAGAGTGATGAGGTGTCCCCTGAGTCTTTCCTCTCCCAAGGCCTAACAACCTCAATTTCCTCAGCCACTCCTCATAAGACTTGTGCTCCAAACCCTTCACCAGCTCTGCTGCCCTTCTCTGGATACAGCCCAGCACCTCAAGGTCTTTCTGGTAGTGAGAGGCTCAAAAGGGATTGCAGGAATCAAGGTGTGGCCTCAAGAGTGCCAAGGACAGGGGAGTGATCCCTCCTTCTTCCACCTTCAAATCTTATTCCACATATGCTTTGTGCCCAAAGAGAGTCCAGCTGGGGCGGGGAGCAGAGGAGTGTTTTTCTTCCCTCACATCATGATGATTCCTCAGGAAAAGCTCAGGCTTTTGCTGGGCTTGGGCAGCCATGTAGCCTCACCATGGGGAAGGGCTTTGTCCCTATTGTTCAGGGCTGGATCCTGCCAGGTGCTGGGCACTACCTACACAGCACCAATATCTTCACATCACATACCCTTAGAGGGACCCCTGGGCCTGAGTTTTAGGGTTACTTACACCCTAAAAAATCGTATTGAGGTTTTCAGGAATAGCAGCCAATTATATAAGAAAAATGTCTATTTTGTAATGTCTCCATAAATGGTCTCTTCAGGGACTCTGATGCAACCCAGGGCACAAAGCTGCAAGCAAACAACAGTCCCATAAAAGAGACACTGCCTTTCTTGTTCGCTTTGCCTTGCTGGTAGGAGAGAAAGGCCATGGGGCTATTTTTGTCCCCTGGTGCTGTTTGACCAGACACAAAGAAAGAGTATGTAAAATACAAGCACAGGCCAGACAGGGAGAATGATCTGTGAGTTTTAGTATTGACTTGGCTAAATTCCTTTTGTAGATTTAAATGTACATTTTAGTATTTGAATAAAACTGAAGATGCCCACTAAGATTTCAGTTATTATTTTAGTATATGAATGCTAATACTTGAAGACATTGTTTCAACTCTTCTGAGATACTTGACTTGTTGTTAATTATTTCACAGTATTTTATTTAATGACAGTAGGATTTGAACTTTGAATGCTTTCACTTTCTAGTTCCCCTTCCATGTAAACAGCCTGATTTACCAGAAAGCAAAAAATAAATACCTAGGTTTCATCCAGGCCTCAGGATGATAATCTTAAAGATTATCAGGTTAAGATCCTATTAAAATCTGAATTTCTATCTTAAGAGTCTTAAATAGAGGGATTGGAAATACATCATGTTTAGTATGGGAAGAGACCGGTAGTTTTGGCAGATGTGATTCCAAAAGCATCTCAGGTGCTAGTGAATCCAAAATTGATCCATTAATTTTTCCACATCTTTTTACTTTTATTTTCTTCATTAGGTGCTCACCAGATGATGGCCATACTCCAAACTGCACTGATGATGAAAAACACATGATCCAAAGCAATGCATACTGTGGTCTGATCACAGATCCAAGTGGTCCATTCCAGAACTGCCATGCAGTGGTCAATCCACAGAGCTATTTTGAAGATTGCCAGTATGATCTCTGTGAACTTCACTTGAACAATGCAGCCCTCTGTGAAAGCCTGCAGGCTTATGCAGATGTGTGCCAAACTGCAGGAGTCCAGCTGGCACCATGGAGAAATACAACCTTTTGCCGTATGTACCAAAGATTGCTAGAAATTACCACTTGCAAGGAGGGTTTAATGAGGATTTCCTGACGACAGAGCCTTACAACCCTCTTTTGAATTCATGTAACACTGAGAATCTTGAGTGATCAGGCTAAAGATTTCAAGTTTATATGTAGTTCCTCAGTTTGATTCCTTTGGGAAGATACTAGTGAAAATAATTTAGTCACTGTGAATGAAAGGAAAAATTCCATCTAATCCACCTTAAAATTGAATTGGAGGCCTTTCCTTTGAATTCATCTCTGCAAAGAGAGAAAGATGAAGGAGGAATTCTTCTGACAATCTGAGCAGGAGATCTGGGATAAATGGAGGACAGTGTTGTAAACACTGTCAGTGGCACAGACTCCTAGATGTATAAGAGAGTAGGGAGTGCTGACCATTCTTCCCAATTGGATGTGCAGGAAAGCATTGGCATGTCCTGTACAGGCGTAGTCATTCATGGTTTCAGATGGGAGAGGAGCCAACACGGACAGACAGCCTGGAATTAAAGGCTAGGACTGAAGTCAAAAGTCTGTGAAATATATATTTTAACAATGCTACTGAATGCAGAGAATACAGGGAGAGTAGGGAAGAGATAGAAGACACAGAAACACACAGAGGTACAAGACAAAATGAGTCAAGTATTGAAGTAATAGATAGATGTCTGTGCTAGGGAGTAAGTAGGAATAATGATTTTTCTTCCTTGAGTATTAGTAAAGAGTAAATAAAGAACATTTCTCAAGCACTCAGGTATATATTATTGGAAATAAAATGCATATTCTTTTTAGAACAGAATTTAAATAGAAATTTAATATCTGTTCCCACTAGAAACAATAAAAGGAACAGGAAATAGTAATTCAGTGAACCATGTGCCTTCTCCACTGAAGGAGATGGGGAGACTAAAAAGCTTGTCTGAAAATATTGGAATTACTGAAGCCTAATTTCTTTTCTGACTTTTGTTTCCCATTTAACTTCAATCTCCATCTGGCACATTTTCTAGGCTGGAGACATTACAGAGGCTTTCTCTGCTAGAGGTTCCTAGAGGTTCTAGGGTTTCTAAGCAGGAGTGAGCTGTCTCTGAATCTCTTCTTTCTGCTGAAAGAGCTTGCAGGATCCCTTCTCCTTGCCTTGTGCCTATTTCCTTCAATGAACCTATATATATTTTTGTCCTCTGCCAACCTCACCAACTTATTTCCTGTAGAGCACCTGGGTAAAATAAAGTGGGAGGATGGGCAGAGAAATGTACAAGGTCATTGTATTATTTCTGTCTCCTTAGAAAAGTAGGCTAAAGATAGAGTGAGAAAATATGCCATTAAAAACTGTCCTACATCACATAAATGTCTGGAAGCTGAAAGAAGATTGCTCAAGGAGCTCCAGTTCTCAGATCTTCTCATCAGTATATGACAGTGTTTAAAACATCTAATTACAAAGGGTAGTTATATGTCATGCATGTAACAAAATATAAAAACTGAACACAGCGTGTCTACATCCTGATTATTTATCAAACCTGAAAGACCTAAGGAAAATGAGAAAAAAAACTTAAGGCATTAAAACATATCTGGAATTAAATATCAGAGCTATAGACTAAATATAGCATGTCTAGTACAAATACCTAACATGACAATGATATCTGCTGTCCAATGCAAGAATTCAAGAAATCATCTTCGTGTCCTAGGAAATGCTTTCTCTGAGAGAAAATTTAGACAGAAAAACTACAAAATAAATTCAAGAGTGGTAAGAAAACAAAGGCATGCATGAAAAGCTGCTAATTCCAAGATGTTCACAAAAATTTCAGAAGAAATCAGAATATGATATAAAACAAACCCCAATATTTGAGTAATTACAAAATATTAATATATATCTGTTTCTTTTCTTACACAGCACTGGACTGTGCAGCCAACAGCCACTACGAGCCCTGTGCTGCAGCCTGCCCTGCCACCTGTGTTGACCCAAAAGCTCCCTACAACTGCAGCCTGCCGTGCGTGGAGGGCTGTGTGTGCGACAGCGGGTTCCTGCTCTACAATGACCGCTGCGTGCCCAGCCAGCAGTGCGGCTGCTGGCACAACGGGCAGCACTACCCCGTGGGCTCAGAGTTCTGGACAGACGACACCTGCTCCTCCAAGTGCACGTGTCCCGCACGGGGAAGCCAAGTGCAGTGCTTCAATGCCTCCTGCCCTGCGGGCCAGTACTGCGGGGTGCAGAACGGGAAACCCGTGTGCCTTGAACACTCCTACGGCATCTGCCACGTGCACGGGGACCCCCACTACAAAACCTTTGACAAGGTGACACACAACTTCATGGGCAACTGCACCTACACCCTGGCCAAAGTGTGCTCCAACAGCACCTCCCTGCCCTACTTCAACGTGGAGGCCAAGAACGAGCACCGTGGCAACACCCGAGTGTCCTACGTGCGCGAAGTGGTGGTTGAGGTGTATGGAGAGCGCGTTGTCATCCTCAAGCAGCAGAAGAGCCACGTGCTGGTAGGCAGTGGGGCTGGCTCGAGTGGGGTGTGGCTGCAAGGCAGGGCTGCTTGAGCTGGCAGGGCCTGGCATGTTAAAAGTCCCAGGAATGGGTGGGTTCCCCTGAAGGCAGCAGGTGGCTTTTTTCTCCCTTTTGGGAGGGGCTGGAGGAAGAAGAGTCAAATGGGAAACATGAGCCATGATGATCCCAGTGCAGAACCCAGCACACAGCTCTGCGAGCCCCAGGGCTGTTGGGGTGTGAGGACATCCCAGGCAGCTGTTTGCTGTGCCTGGGCTGGCAGCTGCTTTCCCTGGGCAGGAGCAGCCAGGGAGGCTGGGGCAGGCGCGGGGCCCACAGTGGTGTGTGTGCCGTAGGTGAACAACGTGCGCCAGACTTTGCCGGTGAGCGCAGCAGGCGGAGCCATCATGGTGAGCCAGAGTGGTCGCTACATCGTCCTGGAGACAGACTTCAGCCTCAGAGTGTCCTACGACACTGACCACTCGGTGGAGGTGAAGGTGCCCACCACCTACTTCAACCTGACCTGTGGCATGTGTGGCAACTTCAACAACCGCAGAGACGACGAATACATGATGCCCAATGGGCAGCAGGCCGCAGACTCCAATGCGCTGGGGGAGAGCTGGCAGGTCCCAGACAGTGACCCCTCCTGCGGTGTCCCCGGCCCCTCCACACCCTGCAGTGCAGAAGAGGAGAAGCTCTACCGCTCCGACCAGTTCTGTGGCATGCTGACCACCAGGCCGAGCTCTTTTGAGAGCTGCCACGGCGTGATCAACCCCCAGGACTACTTTGACACCTGCTTGTATGACCTGTGTGCCCTGAATGGTGGCCAGGAGTTCCTGTGTGCTGCTCTGGAGGCCTATGCTGACGCGTGCCAGGCAGCGGGGGTGACTCTTCTTCCCTGGAGGAATGCTACCTTCTGCCGTGAGTACCTGCCTTTGCATTGCCCAAAAGGGAAACGGGCCACACCCTGTGCTCTGAACCTCTGGCCAAAGTGTGTCTTAGGTCTTTCCCTTCCCACAAGGCTGTCCATGGCTGGAGTCTTGCTGGTCCTAATTTTCCCCTTCCCATTGCAGCCCTGCAGTGTCCTCCCAACAGCTACTATGACCCCTGTATGACCGGCTGTCCTGCAACCTGTGTTGACCAAGAAGCCCCACAGAACTGCTCCAAGCCTTGTGTGGAGGGCTGTGCATGTAACTCTGGCTTCCTCCTGAGTGGAGACACCTGTGTCCCTGAGGCCAACTGTGGCTGCCTCTTTGAGGGCAACTACTATACTGTGAGTGAAAACCCCGCCCTGGTTTGCAGACCCCTGCCAGGCCCCTCCTCTGCCTGTCCTTTCCTGCTTCATACACTGAGGTTTGGTGTTCCCCTGCCTGCAGGAAGGCGAATCCTCCGTGAATGAGAACTGCACTCGCCAGTGCCGCTGTGAAGCCAAAGGCCAGATGGTTTGCTCTGCCTTGTCCTGTGTCGAGGACGAGGTCTGCAAGATCCAGGACGGCCAGAGGGGCTGTTACCCAGCCAGCACTGCCGTCTGCCACATCTACGGTGACCCACATTACAGCACCTTTGATGGGAAGCTCCACCACTTCCAGGGCTCCTGCAACTACACTGTGGTGACGGGCTGTGACAACTCCTCCCTTGGGTTCAGTGTCACTACCCGCAACAAACATCGTGGCAGCCAGAGCTGGACAGCTCTGGACTCTGTGGCGCTGTCCCTCGAAGGCCTCCACATTGCGCTGCGCAAGCACAAGGCAGTCTACGTAAGCCTCTCAGTTTTGTACCTGGGAACAACAGACACACCTGACACTCTTAAAATACCCCTCTGTGCCCCAGGAGAGCTTGCTATTCCCTGAGCCTGCTGCATGCTCACAGAACAGCATGGCAGAGCACTGAGTGGGGCCATATATGGCTGCTCATGCAGACACGGATTCTTGGTTACTTTCCTGAGCTTTCAGTGTGCTGTTGGTACAGTTGCTGCTGCCCTCGTTGGCCTGGGCAGGGTTTTCATGCCAGCAGTGCTTCTGGCTCACTGGCACTACCCCAGTGAGCAGCAGTGACCTCCCAGGGGAGGGCACCTCTTAGTGCTTCTGTCTCCATCTGTTCCCCTTCTCCAGATCAACGGTGCCCTGGTCACCCTGCCTGCTTCTCCTGCCCCCGGTGTGACCATTTCCCTGAGCGGCTCCTACGTGCGGGTTTCCACCAAGCTGGGCCTGCAGCTGCAGTTCAATGGGGATCATGAGCTCCTCGTGAAGGTGTCTGAGAAGTACAAGGGCAAACTCTGTGGGCTGTGTGGGACCTACACTGGGAGCCAGCAGGACGACTTCATGCGACCCGACGGGGTGGTTGTACCCGACTTCAACGACTTTGGAAGCAGCTGGATGGTGCCGGATGATGAGTGGCCGTGAGTCTTTGTTCCACAGTGCACATGAAGGACAGAAGGGAGTGTTGGAGAGGGGAACTATGAGGGACATCAGGAGGGAGCGCTGGTGATGGCAGGCATGGAGCAAGGTAGAAGGGGCAGGTTCCTGGCCCCTGGGAGAGCGGGCTGAGTTTGGGCAGGATGCTTTTCCTAAGCTGCTTGGATTGCAACTGCCTCAGTTCGTTGTTTCTGCCCACCTGAAACCAGTCAGGGCAATGGTGCCTGTGGGCCATGTGTTCCACCCTTTCACGTGACAGCCACGGTGCCTGTCTTAGTGAGGGATCTGGACTGCAGAAGCTGAGCTTATGGCTGGGGAGGAGGTCAGGAAATGCAGTGGCTGCTGTAAGCAAGCTGCAGGGAACTCAGGGCTGTTTGTCTGCTTTGTAGGTGTGACCCAGCCATCAGCCCACCTGCATCCTGCTCTCCTGCTGAAGAGGAGGCAGCTAACCAGCAGTGTTCAATCCTCACAAACCTCAGTGGCCCGTTCCAGCCATGCCATGCAGTTCTGCCACCCAAGACATACTTTGAGAGCTGTGTCTATGACCAGTGTGCCACGGGTGGCAGCACGGAGCAGCTCTGCAATGACCTGGGGGCCTATGCTGCAGCCTGTGCTGAGGCAGGCGTTGCTCTGGGAGACTGGAGTGCTGGCACTGTCTGTGGTAAGCCTTCTATTCACCACCTTTGCTTTCCTTGAATCTCAGAGACAAGGACTTGGGCAGTTCTGGGGGCAGTACACGGGGCAGAGATTTTCCCATTTATCACATAACTGGCCACTCTGGCGGGCCAGTCCTTGCATGAAGAGACTCTTCCAGCACTTCATTTGCAATTGTGTGGAGACGTACTGGGAATTGTGCAGTATCCCCATTTGCTAACAAATCTCCATTTTCTAACATACCTCCCCCCCTTCTGTTTCTCTCTTTTTCATTCACCAGCTCCCCCAACCTCGCCCCCCTTGCCAGGCACTACAACGCTGCCTCCACACACAACAACATCACCGTCACCTGGGACAAGCACAGGTACTGTTATCTCCCATCTGAGTTTTTAGTGGCTGTGCTAAACTCTTCCCCCTTGGCTGGCCACTCTTGCTTGTCCACGGGCATGCCATGGATGTACCTGAGCCCTGCTGGACATGGGGAAAAGGTGGTCCCACCCTCACCTACAACCTCTGCTTTCCTTTCTGCACCATGTTCAGCTCCACCAACAGACTGCAATTTTGCCTGCACATTTGACAAGGACTTCTGTGGCTGGGTCCAGGAAGATTACAGCAGCATTGACTGGATAAGGAACAAAGGCCCAACGCCCACGCCAAATACTGGCCCATCCTCTGACCACACAACTGGAGGTAAGAACAGCAGTCAGGACACAGGCAGAGGGGTGTCCCCACAAAGATGGCAACAAATTTCTAACAGTGAACGCAGACCACATCTTTGCTGGCCTTCCTCCAGAGCACTTTGCCCAGTGTCCCTGAGGGCCAGAGGATTGCTTTGGGAGGATCTCCAGCCCTGGCAATCAGTTTGTGCTCCCACCAGAGCAGGCGAGGACCTACCATGCAGGGGAGAATGTAAAGCACAGCTTGACGACCTGTCGGTCTCTGGGGAAGACAGATGAGTCTGTGACTCTGTTACAAGATCCTGTTTTTTTCAGAAGGCAAAGATGAGGGCTCTCCCAATTTGCAGAGACATGTGAGGACTGTGACAATACTATGGAGGTGTTGCCATGTCCCAGTCGAAAGCATACATCTGCCATGGCCTTGAGAGCACATGCATAGAGGCACTCGGGCCTGGGGAGGGTTGTAGCTTGTGAAGGAACTGTGTTTGCTCTTCCCTCCTTTTGCCTGCCTGAAGCTGCAGTCCTGGGGTGCTGCCAGGACTGTGTTTGGGTTGTCCTTGGCTGCTTTGGGTAGCTCTGATGCATCTGTGACAATGTGGCTCATGCTTTGTTTCAGATGGCTACTACATCTTCCTGCAAGAGAGAAATGATACTCTCCCTGGTTTCGTGGCTCACCTGGTCAGTCCAGTGTGCAGCTGGGAAGGAACACTCTGCTTCCGCTTCTGGTACCACATGTATGGAACTGCTAAAACAATGGCCCTGCGGGTGTACGTGCTGAAGGATGATAAGCCAGTGATGGTCTGGGAAGAAGTTGGGAACCATGGAGACAGGTGGCACTTGGGAGAGGTCACAGTAAACACCAAAGGAAGCATAAAGGTAAGGCCACAGGCTCTCACTGTAACCCCAAAGGAACCATGCTTTCTAATGGCTCTTCACACATGCAGCTGGAGCTAATGCTGGGAACCATTCCTTCCCTTAGATTTTGCTGGAGGGAGAATGGGGTGAAGATGTGCGGAGCAACATAGCATTGGATGATATCTCCGTTGGAAAGGGATCCTGTGCAGGTACAAGGCTTGGCTTAGGGAAGGACAGCTTGCGACATGTCACTGACTGAGTTGCAGGCTGTGCTAGAGGCAGGAGCACAGGTTGTCTTTAGTCCCTGATGCACCTTGTGCTCGAGTCTCCTCTCCTCTGGGAGATTGGGGCACTGGCATTGCCTGCAGTCAGTGTTTTAGTTCACATGTTACAGGCCCACGGGCAAGACATTGACCACAGGTGCAAAGTGCCTTATCTGCTGCTGTCACCCAGCTAAGCTGGTGGCAGAGCCATGGAGTGGGACAGCTCTGCCTGAGATGACACTTTTCAATCCCTGTCCTGGCTATTCTTGGTCATGGTGTTGGGTACTTCAGAAGGGGGAGGGAACCAGCTGTCTGAAGCAAAACTCCCCTGTTGGTGCACATCTCCTCTAACTCTCTCTTGTGCTAGGTCCATCGACACCAACACCCACGGTCCCCTTGCCAGGTACCACAACACAGCCTGTAATCACCACCTCACCAACAAGCCCCACTCCGAGCTCAGGTACTGCTGTTTCATTCCTGTCTCCTACTGCTCCTTAAAAGTGTTCATTTTGTTTCCTGCATGTCCATCACCATGGGGCATGTTTGTCTCTTCCTTTGTTTCATCTATGCTGGTGGAAGAGTTTTTGATGTGGAGTCACTCTTCTGTCTCCGTCCTGGGCATCTTAAGCCTTTCTGATCATGCTTTTTTGGCTGTTTCTGATGAATGGACGAGTTGCCTACAAGAAAACTCCCCTGTTGGTGCACATCTCTTCTAGTTCTCTCTTGTGCTAGGCCCTATGACACCAACACCCATGAGAGCTATGCCAGATACCACAATGCAGCCTGTACTCACCACCTCACCAACCAGATCCACACCCAGCTCTAGTACTGCCACCTCCCATCCCCTTCTGGTTCTGCTTGTTGAAACTTTTTGGTTTGTGTCCTCCAAGGCCCATTACATGGGTTGTAGTGTGCGTACGGAAGGGTGGTGTATCTCCTCCTATCTCCCAGCTCTGCTGCTGGTGGTGGCATTTTTGCATAGCTGTAACAGAGCCATACCTGCCCTGGGTCTCTCAGGTCTGTGTGTCAGCTTTTACAGAAAGGCTGGATTAGCTGCTTACAATGGAGGCCCATGTTGACACTTACCACTTCTTCCTCTGTGTCTCCACAGGTCCACTTCCTACTACACCCTCTACTCCGCAGCCTAACATTACAACTCAGGCAACACCAAGACCACCACCAACCACACCTGGGATGACCTCAGGTACTGCTATTATTTGTAGATTTCTGCATCCTCTTCAAAATCCATACTGGGAACATGGTGCATTTATGTTAAAGGGCTGTTATTTGATTTATGTCAGTCTCCCTCAATAATAAGACATACATTGAATCCTCTTCCGTTTCTTAGGGTTTGTGTGGGATAACTGTGCTTCTAGCAATAGGAAGTTTGAGTAGCTTTGAAATGTACGTCTGTAAAAATTAATAGTATCGTCATATAGATCTATAATAACTATTTGTCCTTGAAGCTAATAGACTAGTCATGGACTAGATTGATACTGTTTGAGCAATGTGAGCTGGGGAGAAGAGGCAGTAGGAGGTGCTCAACTGAAAGTTTCCTCTGGTCTTTCCACTGTCAGGCACCTGTGTGGTGGAAGGAGACCCTCACTACCACACATTTGACAAGGAGTTACACCATTTCATGGGCACCTGCACCTACACCCTCTCCAAGCTGTGTGAGAGCAACAGCTCCCTGCCCTACTTCAATGTGGAAGCGGCCAACGAGCACAGGGGAGGCAACACCCGTGTGTCCTATGTCCGATACGTGGATGTGGATGTGGCTGACCAGCGGATAAGGCTGGGACAGGGTGGAGTGGTGACGGTGAGCTTGAGGGGGAGATGTTGTGGGGCTGTGTGACTGGAGAGAACTGTGCCAAATGGGCTGCTCCAATCCTTTCTGGGTTCCTGTCCTTCCAGGTCAATGGAGTGGAAGAGATCCTGCCTTGCAGCCCATCCGCAGGCGTGCAGGTCTTGTCCAGCGGGTTCTACACCATGGTCATGACAGACTTTGGCTTGAGAGTCAAGTTTGATGGGAAGCATCGGGTGGAGGTGACACTTCCAAGCACCTTTGGGCAGAAGGTCTGTGGCATGTGTGGGAACTACAACGGGATAGCAGCAGATGACTTCCAGAACCCAGAAGGGGCAATGGAGTCAGACTCTACCAGCCTGGGCAACAGTTGGGAAGTGTCCAACAACAGCAGGTGGGTATGGCCCCCAGTAGCCCTGGGGACACAGTGGGCAAGGGAAGGAGGAGGAGGCACCAGGAGAAGTCCACAAATGACCATGGGGCCCTCCTGCCTGTGTTTCCACAGCTGCTCAGCCGGACCTCTGCCCACCCCAGCCTGCAATGAGACCGACAAGCAACTCATCAGCAGCAGCCACTTCTGTGGGCTCCTCACTGACAGCAGTGGCCCATTTCAGCTGTGCCATGCTGTGCTGAGCCCCAGCAGCTACTTTGACACCTGCTTCTATGACCTGTGTGAGCTGGGGCTGGACCGTGAGACCCTGTGCAAGAGCTTGCAGTCCTATGCAGATGCCTGCCAGTCACTCGGTGTCCAGATACCTGTGTGGAGGAACGCAACCCTCTGCCGTAAGTCCAGACATGGCACTCGGGGCCAGTACTCTCAGGAAAACACAGGACAGGATTGGAAGAGTGAGCTGGGGAATAGGAACTATTCTCCCTATTGGCTGTAGGGATATATAGGTAGATATCAATATTAGAGGCAGCATTTTCTGTTCCATTTTGATTCAGTAAGAAAGAGAATACAAATAGAGCCAAAGAGACCATAGGGAAAAGAGAGAGAGTTACTTTTTCAAAGGGGGTATTCAGCAGAAAGGTGTATTCTGTTCTACAAGTAATTTGCTGGGTCATCTGTCTTGGCAGCGATCACTTGTCCAGCCAACAGCCACTACGAGCCCTGTGCTGCAGCCTGCCCTGCCACCTGTGTTGACCCAAAAGCTCCCTACAACTGCAGCCTGCCGTGCGTGGAGGGCTGTGTGTGCGACAGCGGGTTCCTGCTCTACAATGACCGCTGCGTGCCCAGCCAGCAGTGCGGCTGCTGGCACAACGGGCAGCACTACCCCGTGGGCTCAGAGTTCTGGACAGACGACACCTGCTCCTCCAAGTGCACGTGTCCCGCACGGGGAAGCCAAGTGCAGTGCTTCAATGCCTCCTGCCCTGCGGGCCAGTACTGCGGGGTGCAGAACGGGAAACCCGTGTGCCTTGAACACTCCTACGGCATCTGCCACGTGCACGGGGACCCCCACTACAAAACCTTTGACAAGGTGACACACAACTTCATGGGCAACTGCACCTACACCCTGGCCAAAGTGTGCTCCAACACCACCTCCCTGCCCTACTTCAACGTGGAGGCCAAGAACGAGCACCGTGACAACACCCGAGTGTCCTACGTGCGCGAAGTGGTGGTTGAGGTGTATGGAGAGCGCGTTGTCATCCTCAAGCAGCAGAAGAGCCACGTGCTGGTAGGCAGTGGGGCTGGCTCGAGTGGGGTGTGGCTGCAAGGCAGGGCTGCCTGCTGCTGGCAGGGCCTGGCATGTTAAAAATGCCAGGAATGGGTGGGTTCCCCTGAAGGCAGCAGGTGGCTTTTTTCTCCCTTTTGGGAGGGGCTGGAGGAGGAAGAGTCAAATGGGAAACATGAGCCATGATGATCCCAGTGCAGAACCCAGCACACAGCTCTGCGAGCCCCAGGGCTGTTGGGGTGTGAGGACATCCCAGGCAGCTGTTTGCTGTGCCTGGGCTGGCAGCTGCTTTCCCTGGGCAGGAGCAGCCAGGGAGGCTGGGGCAGGCGCGGGGCCCACAGTGGTGTGTGTGCCGTAGGTGAACAACGTGCGCCAGACTTTGCCGGTGAGCGCAGCAGGCGGAGCCATCATGGTGAGCCAGAGTGGTCGCTACATCGTCCTGGAGACAGACTTCAGCCTCAGAGTGTCCTACGACACTGACCACTCGGTGGAGGTGAAGGTGCCCACCACCTACTTCAACCTGACCTGTGGCATGTGTGGCAACTTCAACAACCGCAGAGACGATGAATACATGATGCCCAATGGGCAGCAGGCCGCAGACTCCAATGCGCTGGGGGAGAGCTGGCAGGTCCCAGACAGTGACCCCTCCTGCGGTGTCCCCGGCCCCTCCACACCCTGCAGTGCAGAAGAGGAGAAGCTCTACCGCTCCGACCAGTTCTGTGGCATGCTGACCACCAGGCCAAGCTCTTTTGAGACCTGCCACGGCGTGATCAACCCCCAGGACTACTTTGACACCTGCTTGTATGACCTGTGTGCCCTGAATGGTGGCCAGGAGTTCCTGTGTGCTGCTCTGGAGGCCTATGCTGACGCGTGCCAGGCAGCGGGGGTGACTCTTCTTCCCTGGAGGAATGCTACCTTCTGCCGTGAGTACCTGCCTTTGCATTGCCCAAAAGGGAAACGGGCCACACCCTGTGCTCTGAACCTCTGGCCAAAGTGTGTCTTAGGTCTTTCCCTTCCCACAAGGCTGTCCATGGCTGGAGTCTTGCTGGTCCTAATTTTCCCCTTCCCATTGCAGCCCTGCAGTGTCCTCCCAACAGCTACTATGACCCCTGTATGACCGGCTGTCCTGCAACCTGTGTTGACCAAGAAGCCCCACAGAACTGCTCCAAGCCTTGTGTGGAGGGCTGTGCATGTAACTCTGGCTTCCTCCTGAGTGGAGACACCTGTGTCCCTGAGGCCAACTGTGGCTGCCTCTTTGAGGGCAACTACTATACTGTGAGTGAAAACCCCGCCCTGGTTTGCAGACCCCTGCCAGGCCCCTCCTCTGCCTGTCCTTTCCTGCTTCATACACTGAGGTTTGGTGTTCCCCTGCCTGCAGGAAGGCGAATCCTCCGTGAATGAGAACTGCACTCGCCAGTGCCGCTGTGAAGCCAAAGGCCAGATGGTTTGCTCTGCCTTGTCCTGTGTCGAGGACGAGGTCTGCAAGATCCAGGACGGCCAGAGGGGCTGTTACCCAGCCAGCACTGCCGTCTGCCACATCTACGGTGACCCACATTACAGCACCTTTGATGGGAAGCTCCACCACTTCCAGGGCTCCTGCAACTACACTGTGGTGACGGGCTGTGACAACTCCTCCCTTGGGTTCAGTGTCACCACCCGCAACAAACATCGTGGCAGCCAGAGCTGGACAGCTCTGGACTCTGTGGCGCTGTCCCTCGAAGGCCTCCACATTGCGCTGCGCAAGCACAAGGCAGTCTACGTAAGCCTCTCAGTTTTGTACCTGGGAACAACAGACACACCTGACACTCTTAAAATACCCCTCTGTCCCCCAGGAGAGCTTGCTATTCCCTGAGCCTGCTGCATGCTCACAGAACAGCATGGCAGAGCTCTGAGTGGGGCCATATATGGCTGCTCATGCAGACACGGATTCTTGGTTACTTTCCTGAGCTTTCAGTGTGCTGTTGGTACAGTTGCTGCTGCCCTCGTTGGCCTGGGCAGGGTTTTCATGCCAGCAGTGCTTCTGGCTCACTGGCACTACCCCAGTGAGCAGCAGTGACCTCCCAGGGGAGGGCACCTCTTAGTGCTTCTGTCTCCATCTGTTCCCCTTCTCCAGATCAACGGTGCCCTGGTCACCCTGCCTGCTTCTCCTGCCCCCGGTGTGACCATTTCCCTGAGCGGCTCCTACGTGCGGGTTTCCACCAAGCTGGGCCTGCAGCTGCAGTTCAATGGGGACCATGAGCTCCTCGTGAAGGTGTCTGAGAAGTACAAGGGCAAACTCTGTGGGCTGTGTGGGACCTACACTGGGAGCCAGCAGGACGACTTCATGCGACCCGACGGGGTGGTTGTACCCGACTTCAACGACTTTGGAAGCAGCTGGATGGTGCCGGATGATGAGTGGCCGTGAGTCTTTGTTCCACAGTGCACATGAAGGACAGAAGGGAGTGTTGGAGAGGGGAACTATGAGGGACATCAGGAGGGAGCGCTGGTGATGGCAGGCATGGAGCAAGGTAGAAGGGGCAGGTTCCTGGCCCCTGGGAGAGCGGGCTGAGTTTGGGCAGGATGCTTTTCCTAAGCTGCTTGGATTGCAACTGTCTCAGTTCGTTGTTTCTGCCCACCTGAAACCAGTCAGGGCAATGGTGCCTGTGGGCCATGTGTTCCACCCTTTCACGTGACAGCCATGGTGCCTGTCTTAGTGAGGGATCTGGACTGCAGAAGCTGAGCTTATGGCTGGGGAGGAGGTCAGGAAATGCAGTGGCTGCTGTAAGCAAGCTGCAGGGAACTCAGGGCTGTTTGTCTGCTTTGTAGGTGTGACCCAGCCATCAGCCCACCTGCATCCTGCTCTCCTGCTGAAGAGGAGGCAGCTAACCAGCAGTGTTCAATCCTCACAAACCTCAGTGGCCCGTTCCAGCCATGCCATGCAGTTCTGCCACCCAAGACATACTTTGAGAGCTGTGTCTATGACCAGTGTGCCACGGGTGGCAGCACGGAGCAGCTCTGCAATGACCTGGGGGCCTATGCTGCAGCCTGTGCTGAGGCAGGCGTTGCTCTGGGAGACTGGAGTGCTGGCACTGTCTGTGGTAAGCCTTCTATTCACCACCTTTGCTTTCCTTGAATCTCAGAGACAAGGACTTGGGCAGTTCTGGGGGCAGTACACGGGGCAGAGATTTTCCCATTTATCACATAACTGGCCACTCTGGCGGGCCAGTCCTTGCATGAAGAGACTCTTCCAGCACTTCATTTGCAATTGTGTGGAGACGTACTGGGAATTGTGCAGTATCCCCATTTGCTAACAAATCTCCATTTTCTAACATACCTCCCCCCCTTCTGTTTCTCTCTTTTTCATTCACCAGCTCCCCCAACCTCGCCCCCCTTGCCAGGCACTACAACGCTGCCTCCACACACAACAACATCACCGTCACCTGGGACAAGCACAGGTACTGTTATCTCCCATCTGAGTTTTTAGTGGCTGTGCTAAACTCTTCCCCCTTGGCTGGCCACTCTTGCTTGTCCACGGGCATGCCATGGATGTACCTGAGCCCTGCTGGACATGGGGAAAAGGTGGTCCCACCCTCACCTACAACCTCTGCTTTCCTTTCTGCACCATGTTCAGCTCCACCAACAGACTGCAATTTTGCCTGCACATTTGACAAGGACTTCTGTGGCTGGGTCCAGGAAGATTACAGCAGCATTGACTGGATAAGGAACAAAGGCCCAACGCCCACGCCAAATACTGGCCCATCCTCTGACCACACAACTGGAGGTAAGAACAGCAGTCAGGACACAGGCAGAGGGGTGTCCCCACAAAGATGGCAACAAATTTCTAACAGTGAACGCAGACCACATCTTTGCTGGCCTTCCTCCAGAGCACTTTGCCCAGTGTCCCTGAGGGCCAGAGGATTGCTTTGGGAGGATCTCCAGCCCTGGCAATCAGTTTGTGCTCCCACCAGAGCAGGCGAGGACCTACCATGCAGGGGAGAATGTAAAGCACAGCTTGACGACCTGTCGGTCTCTGGGGAAGACAGATGAGTCTGTGACTCTGTTACAAGATCCTGTTTTTTTCAGAAGGCAAAGATGAGGGCTCTCCCAATTTGCAGAGACATGTGAGGACTGTGACAATACTATGGAGGTGTTGCCATGTCCCAGTCGAAAGCATACATCTGCCATGGCCTTGAGAGCACATGCATAGAGGCACTCGGGCCTGGGGAGGGTTGTAGCTTGTGAAGGAACTGTGTTTGCTCTTCCCTCCTTTTGCCTGCCTGAAGCTGCAGTCCTGGGGTGCTGCCAGGACTGTGTTTGGGTTGTCCTTGGCTGCTTTGGGTAGCTCTGATGCATCTGTGACAATGTGGCTCATGCTTTGTTTCAGATGGCTACTACATCTTCCTGCAAGAGAGAAATGATACTCTCCCTGGTTTCGTGGCTCACCTGGTCAGTCCAGTGTGCAGCTGGGAAGGAACACTCTGCTTCCGCTTCTGGTACCACATGTATGGAACTGCTAAAACAATGGCCCTGCGGGTGTACGTGCTGAAGGATGATAAGCCAGTGATGGTCTGGGAAGAAGTTGGGAACCATGGAGACAGGTGGCACTTGGGAGAGGTCACAGTAAACACCAAAGGAAGCATAAAGGTAAGGCCACAGGCTCTCACTGTAACCCCAAAGGAACCATGCTTTCTAATGGCTCTTCACACATGCAGCTGGAGCTAATGCTGGGAACCATTCCTTCCCTTAGATTTTGCTGGAGGGAGAATGGGGTGAAGATGTGCGGAGCAACATAGCATTGGATGATATCTCCGTTGGAAAGGGATCCTGTGCAGGTACAAGGCTTGGCTTAGGGAAGGACAGCTTGCGACATGTCACTGACTGAGATGCAGGCTGTGCTAGAGGCAGGAGCACAGGTTGTCTTTAGTCCCTGATGCACCTTGTGCTCGAGTCTCCTCTCCTCTGGGAGACTGGGGCACTGGCATTGCCTGCAGTCAGTGTTTTAGTTCACATGTTACAGGCCCACGGGCAAGACATTGGCCACAGGTGCAAAGTGCCTTATCTGCTGCTGTCACCCAGCTAAGCTGGTGGCAGAGCCATGGAGTGGGACAGCTCTGCCTGAGATGACACTTTTCAATCCCTGTCCTGTCTATGCCTGGTCATGGTGTTGGGTACTTCAGAAGGGGGAGGGAACCAGCTGTCTGCAGCAAAACTCCCCTGTTGGTGCACATCTCCTCTAACTCTCTCTTGTGCTAGGTCCATCGACACCAACACCCACGGTCCCCTTGCCAGGTACCACAACACAGCCTGTAATCACCACCTCACCAACAAGCCCCACTCCGAGCTCAGGTACTGCTGTTTCATCCCTGTCTCCTACTGCTCCTTAAAAGTGTTCATTTTGTTTCCTGCATGTCCATCACCATGGGGCATGTTTGTCTCTTCCTTTGTTTCATCTATGCTGGTGAAAGAGTTTTTGATGTGGAGACACTCTTCTGTCTCTGTCCTGGGCATCTTAAGCCTTTCTGATCATGCTTTTTTGGCTGTTTCTGATGAGTGGACGAGCTGCCTACAAGAAAACTCTCCTGCTGGTGCACATCTCTTCTAGTTCTCTCTTGTGCTAGGCCCTTTGACACCAACACCCATGAGAGCTATGCCAGATACCACAATGCAGCCTGTACTCACCACCTCACCAACCAGATCCACACCCAGCTCTAGTACTGCCACCTCCCATCCCCTTCTGGTTCTGCTTGTTGAAACTTTTTGGTTTGTGTCCTCCAAGGCCCATTACATGGGTTGTAGTGTGCGTACGGAAGGGTGGTGTATCTCCTCCTATCTCCCAGCTCTGCTGCTGGTGGTGGCATTTTTGCATAGCTGTAACAGAGCCATCCCTGCCCTGGGTCTCTCAGGTCTGTGTGTCAGCTTTTACAGAAAGGCTGGATTAGCTGCTTACAATGGAGGCCCATGTTGACACTTACCACTTCTTCCTCTGTGTCTCCACAGGTCCACTTCCTACTACACCCTCTACTCCGCAGCCTAACATTACAACTCAGGCAACACCAAGACCACCACCAACCACACCTGGGATGACCTCAGGTACTGCTGTTATTTGTACATTTCTGCATCCTCTTGAAAATCCATACTGGGAACACGGTGCATTTATGTTAAAGGGCTGTTATTTGATTTATTTCAGTCTCCCTCAATAATAAGACATACATTGAATCCTCTTCCATTTCTTAGGGTTTGTGTGGGATACCTGTGCTTCTAGCAATAGGAAGTTTGAGTAGCTTTGAAATGTATGTCTGTAAAAATTAATAGTATCGTGATATAGATCTATAATAACTATTTGTCCTTGAGGCCAATAGACTAGTCATGGACTAGATTGATACTATTTGAGCAATGTGAGCTGGGGAGAAGAGGCAGTAGGAGGTGCTCAACTGAAAGTTTCCTCTGGTCTTTCCACTGTCAGGCACCTGTGTGGTGGAAGGAGACCCTCACTACCACACATTTGACAAGCAGTTACACCATTTCATGGGCACCTGCACCTACACCCTCTCCAAGCTGTGTGAGAGCAACAGCTCCCTGCCCTACTTCAATGTGGAAGCGGCCAACGAGCACAGGGGAGGCAACACCCGTGTGTCCTATGTCCGATACGTGGATGTGGATGTGGCTGACCAGCGGATAAGGCTGGGACAGGGTGGAGTGGTGACGGTGAGCTTGAGGGGGAGATGTTGTGGGGCTGTGTGACTGGAGAGAACTGTGCCAAATGGGCTGCTCCAATCCTTTCTGGGTTCCTGTCCTTCCAGGTCAATGGAGTGGAAGAGATCCTGCCTTGCAGCCCATCCGCAGGCGTGCAGGTCTTGTCCAGCGGGTTCTACACCATGGTCATGACAGACTTTGGCTTGAGAGTCAAGTTTGATGGGAAGCATCGGGTGGAGGTGACACTTCCAAGCACCTTTGGGCAGAAGGTCTGTGGCATGTGTGGGAACTACAACGGGATAGCAGCAGATGACTTCCAGAACCCAGAAGGGGCAATGGAGTCAGACTCTACCAGCCTGGGCAACAGTTGGGAAGTGTCCAACAACAGCAGGTGGGTATGGCCCCCAGTAGCCCTGGGGACACAGTGGGCAAGGGAAGGAGGAGGAGGCACCAGGAGAAGTCCACAAATGACCATGGGGCCCTCCTGCCTGTGTTTCCACAGCTGCTCAGCCGGACCTCTGCCCACCCCAGCCTGCAATGAGACCGACAAGCAACTCATCAGCAGCAGCCACTTCTGTGGGCTCCTCACTGACAGCAGTGGCCCATTTCAGCTGTGCCATGCTGTGCTGAGCCCCAGCAGCTACTTTGACACCTGCTTCTATGACCTGTGTGAGCTGGGGCTGGACCGTGAGACCCTGTGCAAGAGCTTGCAGTCCTATGCAGATGCCTGCCAGTCACTCGGTGTCCAGATACCTGTGTGGAGGAACGCAACCCTCTGCCGTAAGTCCAGACATGGCACTCGGGGCCAGTACTCTCAGGAAAACACAGGACAGGATTGGAAGAGTGAGCTGGGGAATAGGAACTATTCTCCCTATTGGCTGTAGGGATATATAGGTAGATATCAATATTAGAGGCAGCATTTTCTGTTCCATTTTGATTCAGTAAGAAAGAGAATACAAATAGAGCCAAAGAGATCATAGGGAAAAGAGAGAGAGTTACTTTTTCAAAGGGGGTATTCAGCAGAAAGGTGTATTCTGTTCTACAAGTAATTTGCTGGGTCATCTGTCTTGGCAGCGATCACTTGTCCAGCCAACAGCCACTACGAGCCCTGTGCTGCAGCCTGCCCTGCCACCTGTGTTGACCCAAAAGCTCCCTACAACTGCAGCCTGCCGTGCGTGGAGGGCTGTGTGTGCGACAGCGGGTTCCTGCTCTACAATGACCGCTGCGTGCCCAGCCAGCAGTGCGGCTGCTGGCACAACGGGCAGCACTACCCCGTGGGCTCAGAGTTCTGGACAGACGACACCTGCTCCTCCAAGTGCACGTGTCCCGCACGGGGAAGCCAAGTGCAGTGCTTCAATGCCTCCTGCCCTGCGGGCCAGTACTGCGGGGTGCAGAACGGGAAACCCGTGTGCCTTGAACACTCCTACGGCATCTGCCACGTGCACGGGGACCCCCACTACAAAACCTTTGACAAGGTGACACACAACTTCATGGGCAACTGCACCTACACCCTGGCCAAAGTGTGCTCCAACACCACCTCCCTGCCCTACTTCAACGTGGAGGCCAAGAACGAGCACCGTGGCAACACCCGAGTGTCCTACGTGCGCGAAGTGGTGGTTGAGGTGTATGGAGAGCGCGTTGTCATCCTCAAGCAGCAGAAGAGCCACGTGCTGGTAGGCAGTGGGGCTGGCTCGAGTGGGGTGTGGCTGCAAGGCAGGGCTGCCTGCTGCTGGCAGGGCCTGGCATGTTAAAAATGCCAGGAATGGGTGGGTTCCCCTGAAGGCAGCAGGTGGCTTTTTTCTCCCTTTTGGGAGGGGCTGGAGGAGGAAGAGTCAAATGGGAAACATGAGCCATGATGATCCCAGTGCAGAACCCAGCACACAGCTCTGCGAGCCCCAGGGCTGTTGGGGTGTGAGGACATCCCAGGCAGCTGTTTGCTGTGCCTGGGCTGGCAGCTGCTTTCCCTGGGCAGGAGCAGCCAGGGAGGCTGGGGCAGGCGCGGGGCCCACAGTGGTGTGTGTGCCGTAGGTGAACAACGTGCGCCAGACTTTGCCGGTGAGCGCAGCAGGCGGGGCCATCACGGTGAGCCAGAGTGGTCGCTACATCGTCCTGGAGACAGACTTCAGCCTCAGAGTGTCCTACGACACTGACCACTCGGTGGAGGTGAAGGTGCCCACCACCTACTTCAACCTGACCTGTGGCATGTGTGGCAACTTCAACAACCGCAGAGACGATGAATACATGATGCCCAATGGGCAGCAGGCCGCAGACTCCAATGCGCTGGGGGAGAGCTGGCAGGTCCCAGACAGTGACCCCTCCTGCGGTGTCCCCGGCCCCTCCACACCCTGCAGTGCAGAAGAGGAGAAGCTCTACCGCTCCGACCAGTTCTGTGGCATGCTGACCACCAGGCCAAGCTCTTTTGAGACCTGCCACGGCGTGATCAACCCCCAGGACTACTTTGACACCTGCTTGTATGACCTGTGTGCCCTGAATGGTGGCCAGGAGTTCCTGTGTGCTGCTCTGGAGGCCTATGCTGACGCGTGCCAGGCAGCGGGGGTGACTCTTCTTCCCTGGAGGAATGCTACCTTCTGCCGTGAGTACCTGCCTTTGCATTGCCCAAAAGGGAAACGGGCCACACCCTGTGCTCTGAACCTCTGGCCAAAGTGTGTCTTAGGTCTTTCCCTTCCCACAAGGCTGTCCATGGCTGGAGTCTTGCTGGTCCTAATTTTCCCCTTCCCATTGCAGCCCTGCAGTGTCCTCCCAACAGCTACTATGACCCCTGTATGACCGGCTGTCCTGCAACCTGTGTTGACCAAGAAGCCCCACAGAACTGCTCCAAGCCTTGTGTGGAGGGCTGTGCATGTAACTCTGGCTTCCTCCTGAGTGGAGACACCTGTGTCCCTGAGGCCAACTGTGGCTGCCTCTTTGAGGGCAACTACTATACTGTGAGTGAAAACCCCGCCCTGGTTTGCAGACCCCTGCCAGGCCCCTCCTCTGCCTGTCCTTTCCTGCTTCATACACTGAGGTTTGGTGTTCCCCTGCCTGCAGGAAGGCGAATCCTCCGTGAATGAGAACTGCACTCGCCAGTGCCGCTGTGAAGCCAAAGGCCAGATGGTTTGCTCTGCCTTGTCCTGTGTCGAGGACGAGGTCTGCAAGATCCAGGACGGCCAGAGGGGCTGTTACCCAGCCAGCACTGCCGTCTGCCACATCTACGGTGACCCACATTACAGCACCTTTGATGGGAAGCTCCACCACTTCCAGGGCTCCTGCAACTACACTGTGGTGACGGGCTGTGACAACTCCTCCCTTGGGTTCAGTGTCACCACCCGCAACAAACATCGTGGCAGCCAGAGCTGGACAGCTCTGGACTCTGTGGCGCTGTCCCTCGAAGGCCTCCACATTGCGCTGCGCAAGCACAAGGCAGTCTACGTAAGCCTCTCAGTTTTGTACCTGGGAACAACAGACACACCTGACACTCTTAAAATACCCCTCTGTCCCCCAGGAGAGCTTGCTATTCCCTGAGCCTGCTGCATGCTCACAGAACAGCATGGCAGAGCTCTGAGTGGGGCCATATATGGCTGCTCATGCAGACACGGATTCTTGGTTACTTTCCTGAGCTTTCAGTGTGCTGTTGGTACAGTTGCTGCTGCCCTCGTTGGCCTGGGCAGGGTTTTCATGCCAGCAGTGCTTCTGGCTCACTGGCACTACCCCAGTGAGCAGCAGTGACCTCCCAGGGGAGGGCACCTCTTAGTGCTTCTGTCTCCATCTGTTCCCCTTCTCCAGATCAACGGTGCCCTGGTCACCCTGCCTGCTTCTCCTGCCCCCGGTGTGACCATTTCCCTGAGCGGCTCCTACGTGCGGGTTTCCACCAAGCTGGGCCTGCAGCTGCAGTTCAATGGGGATCATGAGCTCCTCGTGAAGGTGTCTGAGAAGTACAAGGGCAAACTCTGTGGGCTGTGTGGGACCTACACTGGGAGCCAGCAGGACGACTTCATGCGACCCGACGGGGTGGTTGTACCCGACTTCAACGACTTTGGAAGCAGCTGGATGGTGCCGGATGATGAGTGGCCGTGAGTCTTTGTTCCACAGTGCACATGAAGGACAGAAGGGAGTGTTGGAGAGGGGAACTATGAGGGACATCAGGAGGGAGCGCTGGTGATGGCAGGCATGGAGCAAGGTAGAAGGGGCAGGTTCCTGGCCCCTGGGAGAGCGGGCTGAGTTTGGGCAGGATGCTTTTCCTAAGCTGCTTGGATTGCAACTGCCTCAGTTCGTTGTTTCTGCCCACCTGAAACCAGTCAGGGCAATGGTGCCTGTGGGCCATGTGTTCCACCCTTTCACGTGACAGCCACGGTGCCTGTCTTAGTGAGGGATCTGGACTGCAGAAGCTGAGCTTATGGCTGGGGAGGAGGTCAGGAAATGCAGTGGCTGCTGTAAGCAAGCTGCAGGGAACTCAGGGCTGTTTGTCTGCTTTGTAGGTGTGACCCAGCCATCAGCCCACCTGCATCCTGCTCTCCTGCTGAAGAGGAGGCAGCTAACCAGCAGTGTTCAATCCTCACAAACCTCAGTGGCCCGTTCCAGCCATGCCATGCAGTTCTGCCACCCAAGACATACTTTGAGAGCTGTGTCTATGACCAGTGTGCCACGGGTGGCAGCACGGAGCAGCTCTGCAATGACCTGGGGGCCTATGCTGCAGCCTGTGCTGAGGCAGGCGTTGCTCTGGGAGACTGGAGTGCTGGCACTGTCTGTGGTAAGCCTTCTATTCACCACCTTTGCTTTCCTTGAATCTCAGAGACAAGGACTTGGGCAGTTCTGGGGGCAGTACACGGGGCAGAGATTTTCCCATTTATCACATAACTGGCCACTCTGGCGGGCCAGTCCTTGCATGGAGAGAGTCTTCCAGCACTTCATTTGCAATTGTGTGGAGACGTACTGGGAATTGTGCAACATCCCCATTTAGGAATAAATCTCCATTACCTTCGTTCACTTCTGATTATGTCTCCGTTGGAAAGGGATCCTGTGCAGGTACAAGGCTTGGCTTAGGGAAGGACAGCTTGCGACATGTCACTGACTGAGATGCAGGCTGTGCTAGAGGCAGGAGCACAGGTTGTCTTTAGTCCCTGATGCACCTTGTGCTCGAGTCTCCTCTCCTCTGGGAGATTGGGGCACTGGCATTGCCTGCAGTCAGTGTTTTAGTTCACATGTTACAGGCCCACGGGCAAGACATTGACCACAGGTGCAAAGTGCCTTATCTGCTGCTGTCACCCAGCTAAGCTGGTGGCAGAGCCATGGAGTGGGACAGCTCTGCCTGAGATGACACTTTTCAATCCCTGTCCTGGCTATGCCTGGTCATGGTGTTGGGTACTTCAGAAGGGGGAGGGAACCAGCTGTCTGAAGCAAAACTCCCCTGTTGGTGCACATCTCCTCTAACTCTCTCTTGTGCTAGGTCCATCGACACCAACACCCACGGTCCCCTTGCCAGGTACCACAACACAGCCTGTAATCACCACCTCACCAACAAGCCCCACTCCGAGCTCAGGTACTGCTGTTTCATCCCTGTCTCCTACTGCTCCTTAAAAGTGTTCATTTTGTTTCCTGCATGTCCATCACCATGGGGCATGTTTGTCTCTTCCTTTGTTTCATCTATGCTGGTGGAAGAGTTTTTGATGTGGAGTCACTCTTCTGTCTCTGTCCTGGGCATCTTAAGCCTTTCTGATCATGCTTTTTTGGCTGTTTCTCATGAGTGGACGAGTTGCCTACAAGAAAACTCCCCTGTTGGTGCACATCTCTTCTAGTTCTCTCTTGTGCTAGGTCCATCGACACTATGATAGCTATGCCAGGTATCACAATGTAGACTCTGCTCACCGCCTCACCAACCAGATCTTGTGAAAGCAATACTCAATTTAAGTTACAGAAATTACATTAGTACCACGCCCCAGACAACTGATAATGCATCTGTCTATTCTGGCTAATCTGCCCCATAAATTTTATGATTTAATTTTTCCTATTTAGTCAGAAAATGCCTTTCAGATATAGCCACTAAAAAGTCACTGGTCCAGTTTATGTAACCATGTCTTAATAATGCCTTTTACCCAACTTTCTTCATCAACCTCTGGCACAGATTTCTGATACACCAGAGTAGATTCTTTGTGAGTCCAAAGATAGAAGGCTGGGTTGGCCTTTGGAGTCTATTGACTGATGTCATCACTGTTACATCTAATCAACAAATACAACATAAAACAAACAAACTGGGAACCAAGCCACTGAAAAATCTGGTGAAGACTGAGAGGGACTTTTTCTTTCTTCACAGGTCGTGCTTTCTGCAGTGCCTCTGGGGACCCACATTACAACACTTTTGACCACAAAGTCCATAATTTCATGGGAAATTGCACTTACACCCTGTCCAAAGTGTGCACTGCCTCTGAGAGTCTTCCATACTTTGATGTATCCACAACAAATGAACACAGAGGAGCCAGCACCAAAGTCTCTTATGTGAAGTCAGTGCACGTGGAAGTCTATGACAATCAGATTTCTCTGCTGAAAAACAAGAAAGTTAATGTAAGAAAAATACATATTTTAAAAACATATAAATTTTAACTGACATGCAGATAATTATTATCTCTGTAGAGTGTATAACAAAACTTTATCTTTTTATTCATTATATCTACCTCATTTAAAGAGATCTCCAACAAACTTGCTCAGATGTTCTTTAATCAGTTCCAGTTCCCCTATGCACAAGATCCTGTCTTTCAGCAATCTGTATTAGCTGCTGGTAGTTGTAGGAGTCCTAACAGCTGTACGCTTACTTTCACAACTTGCTGTACAGGTGAATGGTCACAGAATGAACTTGCCTGTATTTATTGAAAAGAAGATCAGTATTCAAAGCAGTGGTGGATATGTTCTCTTGGAAACTGACTTTGGACTGTGGGTGAGATATGATGGAAATCACTATGCAGAAGTCTCTGTGCCCTCTAATTACAGTGGTCTGCTCTGTGGCCTCTGTGGTAAGTGGTAGCTGGTGGTTAGTTAAAAGTTTTTTTCTTAGCTTGTAGAAATTACAAGAGTAATTTGTCTTGTGGGTTTCTAAATGTTCTTTGGTTTGGATCATCTGGAGTTTTCTAGTTCAATTATCTCTTCATGGGTTTTTTACACTTTCAATTCAAGAAATTTGCCTAAGAATATAATGGTGCAAATAGCACTGCTTAATTTTTAGTCCAATGTTCTATATATAGGATGCAAGAAAATGAGTAGGTTTTTTCTAGAGAAGTTTTTTCTTGGATGTAATCTAGTTACATAGCAACTTACAGACTCCCTGCTTCAAATGTCTGAGCAGCAGCTCTTACCAGTAATCAAAACACAATTCTGCTCTTATTTTGCCCAGTACAGATTGATGTTACATATATATTTTCCTTGTCTTATTTTAATTTATTTTACAACCTGAAACCTAGGTTTTTTTCTACACATTTGAACTTCATGTGTCCCATAAATCTCTTTTTACTCTCACAGGTAATTATAATGGTGATCCGAATGATGACAATATCAAGTCAAATGGTGGCATTGCAAATGATTCCACTGATCTTGGAGAAAGCTGGCTGGTGCCTGAGAATAACACCGTGTATGTAAAATCATTTCATCCTGTGGCATTTGCGGAGCAAACTCCTAAAATCAAATATCCATCTACTCACTGGCTTTTTCCCCAGTACCATTCAACATCTTCCAGCTGCCCATTAGAAGTAGGGAGCTGGACTTTCACATAAACCAGTGAATGATAGGAGGGCTTGTGTTCCTTTAAGTCTCATTTTCCAAAGCAGGAACTATTTGTTGAGTGTGAGGGGGGATGGTACATCAGTCCAGTTCCCTGACTGGAAACCATAACTGTTTGGATTCCATAGCTCTTTTTTTTTCAGCTAAGAATAAGCCTTTGAATCACCCAGAAGGGATCAAAAAAGGAGCCCATTCAGTGAGAGGGCTGACATCAGCTTTTCAAAGAAGCTGGATAAAGTCTTGTGACAGAAATAAAATGCACTCTTTTGTGTATGGTTGTCATTTATTAATTTTTCACTGAAAATCTGATAGTAAGAGATGTGAAACACGTGTTTGGTTTGCTTGCTTTCCCCAGATGCTCCAGTGGTGGGAAAGAAGAGCAATGTGATCCTGTGTTGGAGAGTGAAGCAAAGAAAAACACAGCATGTGGCATGATCACAGACCCAACAGGTAGATCTCTGTGAGCCATGTGATGGAGCATGGTCTAGCTTGTTTTGTCCCTTCTCTATAGTCTCTTTTTCTGAGCTTATACTGGAAGCATAGGAAGCCTCTGGTGTGAATGTCAATGTAAAACTCACAGGTGCCTGGCTAGAATATACCATCTGTTCAGACAATGCCAATGTGTCCATGAATTTTATCTGAGAACCACAGCTGCTCTTTGGATTATAGTGACTTGTACTCTACTTGCTAAAAGTTGTTCAGCTGTATTACAGACAGCTTATCTGAAATTCTGTACATGCTCTTTGCAGTTGTCTAGAATTAGTGGTTTTCCTAGGCAGCAATGCTTAATTTATGTGTTATGTTGTATCAATTATGCAAAAAGAAGAAAACCTGATCCAGGGAGCCCATTCTCATACTGTGCATTGTGTATCCATTTCAAGTAGAGATTAACTTACTTCACACAGCCTGGAACACTCACAGTGCATTTGCTGTGACAGAAAATACATGGTGGTCAGTCTTAACAGTCCAGTGGGTTGTTTCTATCCTTCTATATGTCTTCCTTGATTTACACAGGAATCTTCAAGGACTGTCACACCAAGGTGCCTCCACAGAATTTCTTTGAAAACTGTGTTTATGACATGTGTTTCACTGGAGGACAGGCAACATCCTTATGCTATGGACTGCAGGCCTATGCTGAGTCATGTGTCAATGCTGGGATATGCATAGAGTGGAGGAATTCAACTCTTTGCCGTGAGTGTTTTGATATAAATATCTATTCTGAATTTTAACTTCATTGTCCTCTATCTTCTCCATGCATGTTATTTCATTTTATGTAATGTTCTGAGTCTAGAACCTACTTCAGATTCAGAACCATTGCAGGATTTGTATAAGCCACTAATTTTGAGAACATTAGGATACATGCAGGTTAAATTCTTAAAGTTTTCTAATATTTATAATTTGCAATTAGTTTCTTGGAAAAGTCTGATTACATTCAACTGTGTCTTTTGTGAGCTTCTACATTGGAGAAATAAGTTCCTTTCCTTCAGTGAAAATCTACTATCCTCAGTGTAAGTGGAGCTGGTAGTCCTCCATAACACATGCTTATCAATGGCTTTTGGTTAAAGAAATGAGAGACCTTGAAAAGCAGCTGTTTCTAGGAAGTGCTCTATTTCTCTCTAAAGCAAAGAAATTGAGTCAGGTCTTGATTAATTATCTTCAGAATGATCTTATGGCAAATTTAATATAATGAACTCATATTTCTTAGAATAAAGCTTTCCAGGGGAACCACTGGTGCTGATTCTAAGCAACACCGAACAGCTTTCTGCTTGTCAGACATACAATCATAGAATCATAGAAAGGTTTGGGTTGGGAAGGACCTTAAATATCACCTAGTTCCAAGACTCCTGCCATGGGCGGGGATGCCCTCCATTAAAAAAGCTTTCTCAAAGCCCCGTCCAACCTGGTCTTGAATAATTCCAGGAAGGGGACATCCCCAACTTCTCTGGGCAGCATTTTCTAAAGGACATTCAAGTCCACAAACCACACACCTGGAGAGAAAAAAACAAATCCTCTAAAGGTCAGCCATACTTAAATAAACTGTAATTGTTCTCTATGCTTTTTTGTCTTACAGTGGTTTTTATTATACCAGTTACCACTGGATTACCATCTGCACCTTTTTTATTTTTCTTCTTTTCTTTTTTTGATATGATCAACAATTAGCTCTGAATTTAAACAAAACCATTAAAAAATGGATAGATTCTAGGGGCTGGTCAATTTGGAAAAAGAATTATTGTGATAAAGCACCCAGTAAGTCAGCCCTGAGAGGACAGAGCACAGAGAATTTTTATATAAAAAGAAGATAGAAGAAGAAATTAATGTTTAACCCTCCAAATCAGATTAAAGCTGTGGACATTCAGACTCCATAGTCTGAGCTATGGCCTAGGACCTAAATATCTATGGCTTCATTATGGTAATAGAGAAAACTCACTAACATTAGAAAGATTGACTCTCAAGTGCTCTCTTCATCAGTGATTCAAATAAAAATGCAATTAAAGTCCTGACCAAGGGAAGGAAATCTGGCTAGATGACTGAAGATATCAGCTGTTATTCTCTGACAGGACTAAGAGATCCTGTTGTAGGGACAGAAATAAATGAGAATCATATGTAGTGATTTATAACAGAATCCAGCCAAACCAATGTTTTTCTGTGGTTTTTTAGACAACAGAAATGGACAAATACTTCAGGATTTCTGTAAAATATAATGTTATCCCTTGGGACCATGTTTTGAACAATAGAAGCCAAATTCTACCATGAGCAGGAGGGGTGTGAAAGTATATTGTTCTAAAGGAGTGTCGGTGAAAGACAGAATGTGATTTTTAGTTCTATTTTGGAATATATAGCAGATGCTCAAATAGCAACTGCAGTAATGGGGACATATCAGCTGGTATGACAAAAGATTATTCTATTTCCATAACTGTGTCACTTTATGCCTTTAAATCAGCAGAAAAAGGTTTGTACACAACACTCTTCTGTCAGACTTTCCAACAGCCATTCTGCATATTTTCAGGAGCAAACAGTGAAAGCATCAGGAAGACCTCTATTATGATTTTGCCCTTTTGAGTATTTTTTTTTTCTCTTTATTTAGCAATGTCCTGTCCTGGAGGCAGCATCTACAAGAGCTGTGGTACTAGGTGTCCCTCTACCTGTTTGAACATCTCAGCAGCTGATTCCTGCAGTTCTTTGCCAGTGGAAGGTTGCTTCTGTAAGGAAGGATATGTTTTGAGTGGAGACAAATGTGTGCCAGAAAGCAACTGTGGTTGTGTTGATGAAAAAAACCAGTATCACCAGGTAAGTTACATCAGATATTTAAAAAAAAAAAAAGGAAAAACCAAAAACGGGAGGTCTCATTCTTTACCACTGTGAGGGAAAAACCATGTTAATAATACTACACAATTTACACCATTAATAATTTCAAAATAGACTTACTTTGCCAGCTTTCTTGGTCCATAAGCTGCATGGCTACAATTGCCCAAATGACTATATATCATGAACATTCAAATACTAATAATTTGATTGTCCTTTATGGTTTTATCTTCCTATTCATCTTATAATATATACTTTGACACGCTTTTTTTCCCATGTAGCTGAATGAAAGCTGGTTCACCCATTACCCCTGCACTGAGCGCTGCACCTGCAAGGCAAATAACATCATTGAGTGCAAATCCTGGGAGTGTGGAGTCCAAGAGGAGTGCAGGGTTCAGGATGGTGTGCTGGGCTGTCATTCCAATGGTGAGTCCTGCCTGAAAACCACTCCAATGTCAATTCCATCATTAGATCCTCTTCTTCTTCTAGCTTTATTATAAATATCTTTTCATATGGGATAGTAAAGAAGTCCCAGCTGACTGCTGCCAGTGCTAATGATGTTCTGTCTTGCAAGCTCAGATGGCCTCTTGTTTTAGTGGATATCAGCAAAAAATGATGCTGCCCAAAAGTTTGCAAGGTTGCTTGGATTCTATTTGTCCTGATAATGAAAATTCAAATCCCACATCACCGGTGCTTCAAGCTTTAAATTTGGTTGTATTTCTGTGAAAATTGTATTTCTGTGGGCCTGTGTAATGACAAGAGAATTATGCATTGATGTATATAGATGCAATTACATTTACTTTATATTTACAGCTATATTTATACAGTTAATTGTGTATTTTAATATAGATAAGTAGAAAAGCTTTGTATTACTCTCACCATACTAAAATCATAGCTACAACAGCATATAGAAGTGAACAGAAGTTCATTTGCTGCCTAGTCATCCTTTTGTATACAATTTGCAAATTAAATTTAGGAGATGCTTTCTGGAAACTTCTTATTTACAAATAAATATCATTGGCATGAACCTGAGATGCATCTCTGAAAGTTTGCCTACATAATAATGATCAGGATGAGGTTGCTATGCTAATTCAAACTGCTTTGGCCAACTGAGTCCATGGTGAAATCCAGTACAAAATTCTTACATCATTTTTTTTGCCTTCAGGTCAAGCAATATGTCAAGTGGTAGGAGATCCCCATTATTTCACTTTTGATGGAATGAAGTACACTTTTGTGGGAACCTGCACCTACACTTTGGTTGAGGTTGTCAGCACTGCCACCAATGTCATTCCTATAACCATACTTGGCAAGAATGAAGACAGAGGACTAAGAGGGGCCACGTACCTGAAGGAAGTCTACATTGATGTGTATGGTGTACGAATCACCCTTCAGAAAAACCAAGGGATCATGGTAGGTGGTGGTGGTGCTCTTTTTTTCTGGCAAGAAGTATCTTAAAATTAGCTCACTTAGAATAGCTGTAGGAAAAAGGATCTTCACATTTCCTAAGGAACATACATGAATATGCTTAACACTTGTGGGCACTCCCATTAAGTGCATGTTATGAGGAAATATAATTTCTCTAGTTCCCAAGGCTTCTGGTTTGGATTTCCTGATCTATTGTGCTTATCCTAAAGTTTAAACTCAAGGTCTCCAGAGTGGGGAATTGTTCCCTGAATTAAAATATGACACTCCCCACTTCAACAGTTTTTATCAACCCAGTCACCTATAGAGAGCAAGGCATAATGTATAAGCCTAGAAAAACATGGGGAGCCATGGCAGGGAGCCTCCCCCAAGGGTGAGAAAGAGTTTGTTCTCAACCAGGGATCTTTCCAGCTCCCTGTTAAAGGCACAGCATACGAGTTCTGCTCAGTCCTCCTCAGCTAAAAGGTTGATTCCTGCCACACGTAGTTGGAATATGCAATGGTGGAAATGTAAAGAGCTAAAATTGTCACAGAGAAATCTTCAGCACTGCTAGGAATATAGACTGTGAGCTTTCATGGGAGAATGTCCATACTGACAAATGACACATCTCTCCAGATGAACAATGAGAAAGTCTACACTCCAGTGCAGAACCGACTGCACGGCATGTCCATTGGAAATGTTGGCAGATTTATAGTAGTGGAAACTGACTTTGGTGTCATAGTGAAATATGATGGCAATCACCATCTGGAAATCACTCTCCCACGCTCTTATTTCTCACAGGTAAGATTTAATATACAAACATCTGGAGTTGTTTCAAAACTGCTGGTTTGTGCATTTACTTCTAGTTCTATTTATTCCTGTCCTTTGCTGTGGCATCTTACTTTGTAGATGTATTGTACCAAATGTAATTTTTTTCCTTTCTGTTTCTTTCTATTCACAACAGTTTCTTTGTGTTCCAAGGGGGTAGTGAAAGAAAATTACCTGTCTAGAGGAATACTTCCAACTTAGAGAAATAAACAGCTTGAAGCCCTAGGGAATCACAGATTTACTGTAATTTCTGTTTTGTTTCTCCATGGGTGCAGTCAGAATGTCTAAAATGTCTGGTGCAGGATTGGTTGTTGGTGGTGATTTACTCACATTATTTCACAGGCAATGCATAAGAAGTTATTGGGGAAGTTGATGCAAAGAGGTCATGCTTGGAATATGATTCTTTTCCATCTGCAGGTGCATGGCATGTGTGGCAATTTCAATGGTAATCGTGAAGATGATCTGTCCTTGACCAATGGTACAGTTGTCACTGCCCCACAGTTTGGAAATAGCTGGGAAGTGGAGATAGACAGTGATAAGGGGTAAATATTATATAATTTTCATACCTTCCACCTTGCTTCAGGACCACAGTGAATGGTTTTCAATTGTTTTTAATGTCTGCTACTTTGTAACCACTTTGTATACCAGATTGAATTTGTAGTTCAAAAAACAGCCATCTCCACAGGAAACCACTGCACAGGCCAGAGGAAAATCACAGCAGTTCTATCAATCTACACACTTGGATAATGAGTCTTTTGGGGTAGTGGACTCTTTATTTCACACTGGTAACACCCAGAGCAAGATGATGGTGATGGAAAATGGTGAGGGCCAGCTGCTCTCTGGCTGACAGGGAGCCATATGTGACATACATATGTGACAACACAGCTGAAAAAACTGTGGGTTCACCAGTGAGCCAGGGTCCATCCCACTCCACCTGAGCAAGGCAAGCAGGGAAGCCCCACAGATGGAAGCTTAAGTCAGCCTGGCTCAGTTCAGGTCACCACACAGAAATTTGCAGTGAGGCAGATCCAAGGTCAAGCTGTGAAGTCAATCCTCTAGTCAGGGTCAAGTTCAATGGAAGTAACAGGTGTCAGACACAGCATGGTGGTTGTCAGGCAGGTCTACTTCTGCTCAGTCTCTCATCCACTCACAGAAGGAAGTCATAGTCTCCAGCCTCTTCTACTTTTCAGCGGAAAGAAATTTTTGTGTTTCACTCTGTCTTATAGCAGCCTGTGTCTGTGCTTTCTTGCAGTTGTTTGCCAGACTTAAGAGAAGATGATGATCCTCCTTGTACTGCTGAGAATAAACAAGTCATTGAAAGACAGTGCAATGTTCTAAAATCAGACAAATTCAAAGTGTGCCATAGTCTAGTCAACCCTGATGACTTCATAGAGATCTGCATCTATGATATGTGCCAGTATGATGGTATGAAGTCAGCTCTCTGCGACATAGTTCAAGTCTATGTGGACACCTGCAAGAATCATGGAATCACCATTAAATGGAGGAATAGCACATTCTGTCGTAAGTTCACAAGCAAGTGAAAAAATGAAAACTAAATGACTGATAGCATGAAAAAAATTAGCACCATTAATTGAACAAGTAAAAGAAAATTAAATCTAAATTATCACAAAATGCATTTCTACTATCACGGTTCCATTGCTCCACTGAACTGTGTTCAGGTTCAGATAAATCCAGAGATAACTCAGAACTAGACAAGTTATGGATATTAACGTGGAGTTAAAATGGCATTGGTAGCCAGATGAGATATTGTAGTGAGCTTAAAATGGAGAAATAATATAACCAGAAGACTAAAAGAGGGATACTGTGTTAGGACACAGGACTCAGTGCCACTTACTGTGATTTGAACAAAATCTGTAATTTGCCAAATTATTTATTATGGACCCTGTTCTCAGATTAATTTTCAGGGTATATGCTTTACTCCACCCATTCAATAAAGCTACAAACACAAGATATAAAAACTAGTAAAGATAATGTAGAGGGGTTTTATCTGTGAGACCTTTTTAACAATTTAGTATTATATTGTGGGATTATCAAATAATGTTGTGGAGGAAAAAACAGCTAGTTAAAAAACAAGTCAGATTAATGTTTAATAGATCCATCAGAAATTCCTAGTTACCTCCTTGCCATTAGTGTAGGAAAATACTGGACTAACAAACCTTTTCTCATGTTACACTTATTCTTGTCTAGGGCATGTCTTACATTATTACATTTATGCATGTCTAGTCATTGGCAGAAATAGGATTTAAAGGTAGATGAACCTGCAGTCTGACAATGCATGTATGCTGCTCTTGCATGTCTGCAGTTAAGCCAAATTTACATCTGGTTTGTGTCAATGGAAGGTTGAAGATTTTAAGGAATTTGCCTTTAAGAGTCTCATTTCTCACCGTGCCCAAAGAGGCATTTGCAGCTGAACTGGAATACTGAATCTGGATAATCTAGTCCCAAGTGGTTCAGTCATACCTGTAATAAAACTGAATAAGCAGCTCCAGAGAGCATTCTTTGTTCTGTTTTCTGTTGTTTTGTTGCTGGTTTTTTTTTAATAAAATGTAAAAATAAAAACCAGATGATGGTCAAAATTAGCTATTAAAAGACAGTTCTGTACTACCATTCCACAGGCCAAGGTGTAGCTTTCAGTATTTGCAGTGCACTTTGTAAATGTATTTAATAACGCTGTCTCTGTTCTCCCACACAGCACTGCCCTGCCCACCCCGGAGCCACTACAAAGACTGTGTCTCTGCCTGCCCATCCACATGCAGTGACATTTTTGCCTCTTCCCTTTGTGAGAAGACAGATGAGTGCACAGAGGGCTGTGAATGTGATGATAATTATGTGCTCAGCAATGGCAACTGTGTACCTCTCAGCAGTTGTGGCTGCAGGGATGATGACAACAATTACTACAGTGTAAGTAGTTTAAGGAGTAAATCTCTGGCTTCAAAACTTGTATAAAATTGGTCTCCTGCCCATCTTCATATGAAAGAGAGAGAGAGATCAAAGACTTCAGATCTACCTCTTAAATACCTTTCATCTGATTAGCAAAAGCTGCTGCCTTGGGTATTAGGAGATACAGAAGCTTGTTTGGTACTTTTCACCGGAGGCCAAAACTGAGACCTATTGTAAAACAGTTAATTGATCAGAATTATTCAGGTAATCTGTCCTAGTCCAGTTTTGTGTTCAAATTCTTATGCTGAAGACAGTAAATTAATGGACTGAGATCCCCTGTCACAGGCTCTTGGTGAGACTGCACTTAATCAAGGAGTTGTGGAATTGCCAACTGGACAAGGTTGCACCTAGCTAGTGTCCACACCTGTGGCTTTTGAACTTTCATTGCACTGCACAGTTGAGCACCTTGATAACATATTATTAACACAACTTGTGTCCAGGCTGGAGAGACATGGATAACTCCACACTGCACCAAAAGATGCCAGTGCCAGAAGAATGGTGTCATCAGTTGCAAGAGCTACAGCTGTGATTCTAGAGAAACCTGCGTGAACAAAGATGGAAAACACAAGTGCAATCCAACAGGTATGCGCAAGGAGGTCTTCACTTGGGTTCACTTGAGAGCTGCAGAAGGAAGGAGGATATGTGTGCACATACTTTGTTTCATGGCAATTCCATTCACTGGGAAATAAGGAAACTCTGACTTTTTTGTTGACAACATGTTATTGAATACAAATGGACTCCATTCTCATAACAGAAGGTTCCTATTCCATGCAGAGAATCTCGCGAGGGAAATGGATACCTGGATATAATTTACCTATATCTATAAATCTGACAGTTCAGTCTGACCAGTTTGACTAAAATGTCTTTTTAAAAAATTCCACTGCATCTACTGAACCTAAAATTCAGTTTGTGAATCCCATCACAATGATCCTGTTTTTGCCACTGCATGTTGATTTGAGAACAGGAAAAAAAAATCAAATAAAAAACCAATACGCAAAACTAAAACAGAGCAGATATGGACAGATATATGATAGGCCAGTCAGAGGACTTTGGTGCTTTTCATTCAACATTTGTGTTGGTTAGGCAAAATTAATCCCATATTTTCTAGGTAGGTTGGGTTGATTAGGAGAGAGCTTGTTGCATAGTGTCCCTACACTTTAGTTTTGAAGAATAGCATGGCACCAGTCCCACTGTAGTGAGAATCAATACAAAAGCATAAGGCAAATTCAGTGTCCCCCTGATATATTTTGGAAAAATGTCTGAACAGAGGCACCCCAGCAGTTTTAAGGATATGTAATGTAATAGGCCTTCCTATGCCTTGCTCCTGTCATAACAGTTTACTCTGTGCTCAGTTGTCAAGGAGAATACATTGATGATAGTCACTGTATCTGATTGTTAGGTCTGGTAAACCAAACAATCAGTTTAGTAACCCCAGCAGAAATCAGTGACAGCACTAAGTCAGCCAAATTTAAACACTGCTTTTCAATTTTGTAACACATGGCAGAGGTTATGAAAACAACATCTCTTATTAGGCCAGTTCAAGCTGTGCTTGTGTCAGAGTCATTCCTCTGCAGAGGGCCAATGTGCACAACTTAGTCTCAATAAATTCTATAAACCCTAATGTTCTGCTTTAGCTCAGTTGGCTCACAGTGGTCCTCAGGAGAGGAATGAGTTTCTCTGTCCATCTCTCCATTTGAGTAGCTATTCACTAGAGTGAAGCCTGAGCACCCATTTTTACTTTCAGACCTGCATGCTAGCAGCAATCATTTTTGTCTAACAGTTTGGACCAGTCCAGGCATGGTATCTGGCAGATGCATATTTAGACTGGAGAGTAATGAAGCTCTTCCCCTGCAGGTTTTGGGAAATGTCAGATCATGGGCGACCCACACTACATCACCTTTGACGGGCTGGTGCACCACTTCCAAGGGAAATACACATATATTCTGGCTCAGAGCATCCCTGACCTACCTGACACTCTGACACAGTTCAGCATTGAAGGCATGAACTATCCATTACCTGGAATTCGACGCATTACTTACCTGAAAGAGATGCTCATCAATGTTTACAACCACACAGTGCGATTCAGGCAGAACAAGCAGGTTCTGGTAAGTCCCTTCCACACACACTGCAGAGCACAAGGAAGGTGCTTACTCCCTTGGAAGTGTTTACTCCCTTGGAGTGAAGCACTTTTGAATAATGGACTTTTTTTTAAATTAAAGTATTAAAATGAATTGTATTATTACCACAATGCTGTGAGGTAACCACAAATGAGATTTGCACTTGTGTGGAGTCTTTTTTCTCCCTAGCTATGAAAGAAACAATTCTACATCAAACAAAAAAATCAATAGATATAATTTTAGCAATGAAATCCCAAATATCCCAAGGCTTACAATAAAGCGACACCAATTTTTATCAATGGTAAGGAAAGATTTGTTTTATGTTAGGATAATTTAATTTTGTTCCTCTTTATTGGTGTGTAAGAGCATACATAGCTGTTATATTGCATTTTTAGCACAATAATAGAAATTTCTTTGGATGACATGAAAGTACTGTGTTCAGATCACTTTCTTCAATACATGATTTTGTTAACTTAAAAAAAATAAATGCTGTTGAATTATCTGATATATTTATCATAAAACCAGAGAAGTATTGGATTGTAGCATTGACCTGTACAGAAACCAGTTTTTAATTTAGCCAATATATAAGGAATTTTTTTTTCATTCCTTGTTAGTTGGATGGTGTGAGAGTGAGGCTCCCCATTCGACCTCATGAAGGTATTCATATATATCAGAGGACAACAAGAATTTACCTGGAGACAGATTTTGGCTTATATCTGAGCTTTGATGGCAATCAAAATGCAGGTAAGTGATGCTATAAAACTTTGCAGAAATATTTTTGCACAGCCCCCAAAAATGTTCTCATTCCAGAGAAGGTCTAAACCCAAAGCAAAATTTGAAATCTTCACCCTTTGTGAAGGGTCCTTTGTGACATAAAATATCAGAAAATAAGCAGAAAATACCAGAAACAAGTGTTTCCCAGGAACCAGAAAAAAACATAAAACTGACATGTGGCACTTGACATTGATTTCTACCTGTTCCATACACTCAGTGGCAACAATTTCTTTGTAACAGCTTCTTTTCCTTCTGATTTTGCCTAGACATAAAGCTGGCTACCACCTACAGAAGCAGAGTGGAAGGCTTGTGTGGTGACTTTGATGGGAGATACAGAAATGACTTCAAAAATCCAGACGGTGTTTGGGTCAGGAATGTGAATGTATTTGGTGAAAGCTGGAAAGTTCCTCTGAAAAGAAGTTCTCGTCTCAGGTACTTGATTTTCTATTTAATATCCACAGCAAGCACTGCCACTAGAAGTGAGTGAATTAAGTCATAGGAATTGACCTCTAGGAATAACTACACTGCCTCATTTCTCTTATCTTTCTTCTTCCCTCTGTTTCTGTGTATGGATTTTTCCTGCTCATCACTAAAGGGAACTCTCAGTGCCTTTCTATCTGGCCAAAAAAGGCCTGAACTGTCAGTGCCATGACTCCAGTTCAGTATCCCTCTTTGGAGTCACAGTCATTACAACTGCTAGGGCACAGGGGTGCATAACGTCTTTGCCAAGCTCATTGTTCAAAGATAAATACATGCGCTAGATGGGTCTGAGTGAGTGCAAATCCTGATTCAGTGTCAGTCTTTCCTCTGGAACATGAAGGTAGCTTTGAAATCCATCAGCATAAATTCACAGTTCCTCCCATAAAAGGTTCTTGAAGAGTCTCATTTTTTTGCTCTCATGGCTATCTATTTTGATTTCTGATGGTACACAAAAAGTAAAAATGTTCTTTTCACTGTACATGACCATAATATTTGTGGTCAGGAAAATTCTGTGCTAGTTAGTCCATACACAACATTGAAAAAGATTTTTCTTGTTTCTTTGAGGTTTCCTTCCTTCCTTCCTTCCTTCCTGCCTTCCTGTTGCTTTGAAAGCCCTTTGGAAATTGCTTAGCCACTAACACATTGCTTTTTCAGAAAGTAAATGGAACTGTATTAGCTGTCTGGATATATTTTGGCTGCAAACATTTGTCTGCCAGAATAGCAGAAAGCCATATACAGGGCAGTGTTGAGAATAAAGGGGATCTGGAGTCTGTGTCCATAGGAATATTCTGGCATTTCAGGCATGCAGCAAGTTGTTCAGTGAAAGTGAACATATATCCAAGAAACAGGGCTTTATTCTAGGTGAATCCTTCATTCAACTTTTATTGAATAGATTGGATGGAGGAGGCAATGAATAAGGCATGTATCTTGCAGAATTTCCAAAGAGAAAACTACAGATATCCCATTTACTATAAATATCCATAAATCTCTGAGATGGTAGGAAGTGTACCAGTATATCTTTGATTTGCTGAATCTCCTTCCCATTCAGGATAAAACATGAAAGATAAATAAGCTTACATTTACACCACAAGGCAGAAGTATTCTTGCAGTGTTGCTCAGAGCATAGTACCATGAATGCTGGATGTACACAGAACACTGATGATTTCATAATGACTTCATTTACAGACGAGATGTCAACTCAGAAAATGACTCTGAGGAGGAGCCAGATCCAGGGCTTTTCCAAGGCTGCAACAAAAATCAACTGGAGCAGCAAAATACAACTTCAAGGTGTCAAATCCTGACTGACTTGAATGGTCCTTTTGCCAAGTGTCATTCTGCAGTCAAACCAGATTTCTATTTCACGTAAGTGTCTACTGCAGACAGTTGTTCTCCCCATTTGCAAATTCATTTTGGCAATAGTCTCTGACAAGAACTATCTTCAGTCATCTGGAGTCTCCAGGCTATTAATAGGAGCTGAGGATATTAAGTGTCTTTGTAGAAGTGGACCCAGTGATTCCATTATTGATATATTTACATACCCTTATTTATTTTTAAATAGTTGTGATTATCTTTATTTCATCTACTCAGCATTTCACTTCTCTGCTAGTTCTACAAAGCAGCTTTCATGTTTTCCCACACAGATAAAGCAGCAGAGTTAAGCATTATCCATGTAGCCTGGAATTTCCAATGTGCATACAGTTCTCATCCACATTCAGTGAGACTTTAGAACCTGGGTCTATTGGGTAGAAGTTCTAGCTTCATAAAATTTGTATCATGCCATATACAAAGGCTGAAGCTCTCAGTGACACTTCTTGAATTTTTCATGGAGAAGTACAAAAACCAGATTAGTAAAGATGAACTAAACTGCTATCTGCAAGAAAGTTCCCTCTTCTGTGTTTCAAGGTTGCTCTCCACCTACATATACAATTCCAACATACCTAATTCTGAGCTATATTCATCCCTACGTTCATCTTTCATGCTTCATCCATCATCAAATTTGCCAAGTAGCTTCAGTTTTCTTTAGTTACAAGTTGTGCCTAATATTTAAAGACAGATAATGCCAACCCCAAATTCCCCCTTATCTGGGAGAAGAATGTTACAGTACTTTAAGCCAAATAAAGTGGACCACTATCCTGATTCTTAACGTGAGCCTATTTTTCTCCTCACTCTAGAATTTCGTTGGGCAACCTGCTCTACCTGCTTAGTGGTTGCCCTGATTTTTCTGAGGTGCTGCATGTTTGCAGATTCCATTCATCTTAGATCTCAGTGCCTCTGAAAATCAGGCCATGAATACTCAAATGATGAGCAAAACTGAGAAGGTAGCACTGGCAGACAAACACTGGATAAAACAGAATTCTGTGTCAACATTCAAGGCAGATGGACATGGGGAGGGTACCCATGTATTGAAAGAGGCATGTAAATCAAGCTGTAAGACTTAGCAGGACTAAAAAGTGCTACATAAGCAAGATGTATCCTGAAACAGAAGCAGAGGGCAAAGAAGTTACTGTGTTAAGCCAAGTAACTGTTTATTGCTTGGTCCAATGAAGATTTAGATTGTATATGGGGAAAACTTTCAATTTAGGGCCATAGTTTAGTGGTGGACCTGGTAGAGTTAGGTTAAACCTTAGGCTTGATGATTTTGGAGGCCTTTTCCAGCTTTAATGATCCTATATGGACACCTCACACAGCAGCAGCAGCTGCACAACAAATGACCTGATCTTCCCAATCACATGCTTGGGGTGTCTTGTACTCCTGTTTCCCGACAGCCAGATAGTTTTGCTGGAAAACAAAACTAACTCAGAGTCAGTCAGAAAAGCAGATGAAAACAACCAATAACAAATGTACTGGGAATTAATGTGTTCTCATGTTGCACATAGGAGCTGCCTGTTTGATATGTGTGTGGAAGGAGATGAGATCTTGTGCCGCAGCCTGGAGGAATATGTGCTGGATTGTCAGCAGCTAGGAGTCAGCATGGATGGCTGGAGGCAACAGACAGACTGTGGTAAGCACAGGAAGAAACAGGAAGTAGGGACTCTACCTACAGGACTCTTAAAATCTGAAGTTTAAGCCTTTTCCTATATCAAATCTTCTCAGGGAATAAAAACATGTTGATTCACACTTCACTCACTCTTCACAGTTAAGCACACTTGTTTTTCTGGCCGCACTTCTGTGTCCTATGCTGACTTTTGCATTTAAACCCCAGCTTTGAGAGATACTTAGGAAATCAGAGCTGTCAACTCCATGTCATCAGAAGTATTATGAGTGAAACAATGTCCCCATTCCCAATGGGACAAAAAGTTTAAATTTTGGAGATCTTTACAAGCTACAAATCTGAAGGCAAAACATTTCATTTCAAATGCTCTTTAAATCTCCAAAATATTCTAATTATCTTTTTTGCCTGTGAAATTTCAAGATAAAAAAAATTCAACTGAAAAGTTGAAACTTTTCAGACTAAAAGAAATGCTGAAGACTAATAATCATCTCAAACATATTTTTCCTCTTTTTTTTTTTTTTTTTAAGTTTGAAGATTCATCAAACCATGTTTTCCCTGTGTCTGCTATTGTTAGATGGCTTTGTATTTTTGGTGAAACACAGTTCCCAAAGTTGTGGAACAGCCCTGTCACTTGAAGGGATGGCAACCCTGAACATGTGAGAAGTTGTTTTGAGATCAATGTATACCAGGAACAAGAGCACAGTATACAAATAGCTCTGATGATGCATTTCCTGGCTTTGGAGTGCTTTACTTACAACTTCAGAACTATTATACATGTATGCACATCTGTGTATGCATTTATTATATTGCCTCCTACACAATGGATCAGAAAGGGAATTCTGTAAGGAAGTAACACACAGCAGCCTGGTATAACTGTACTCCTTATTTTTGCAGGTATGTCATGTCCTGCCAACAGCAAGTACAGCTCTTGCATGTCTGCATGCCCAGCATCCTGCAACGACCTGACCAGCCCTTCTGAGTGTGAATCACCCTGTGTTGAAGGCTGTGAATGTCTCCCTGGTTATGTTCTTAGTGGCTTTGACTGTGTCCCTTACAAACAGTGTGGCTGCACATACCTTAACAAATACTATGAGGTATGGTCTCTCTGTGGGTCAGACAGCTCCCACAGCACTAAACAATATTTTCTCTTGTTAGGTATTTTGACAATCTCCTCATAATTCGCAGCATGTAATTTTGCAGTAGAAACATTACAAAAAAAAGAGCAATTGTTTAATAAAATTCTGGTTTCTGGAGAAAGGGAAGAGAGGTCAAGATCTCTTGGTCTCCCTCTGAAACTCTGAAATGACAGATAGCATTTCCACATTGCCTTGGAGGTATTATGTGATTCATCTGCCACTCCTCCCAAGGAATAGTTGCCCAGTTTTGGTTGCACATGTACCCTGCCTGGGGCTAGGATCTCATGCCCCAAACTCTTATTTTGCTTTCTTTTTTGGGCCATCCTCGATTTTTGAAAAGCTGCATTAATAAGCCATTTCCTTTGGTTTTTACAAACTACTTAAAAAAAAAACCAAAACAATCTGCCCTACTGCCATTCATCAGGAAAGCATTGGAGAGACAATAATGAGGGTTTCAGTGCTACATTCATGGTTTTTTCTGGCTGATTTTAATTGATCTTTTTTAACATCTAACTCCTGTTCTTCCAGATTGGAGAAATATTCACCACTGACGACTGCTCTCAGAAATGCCAGTGCACAGAAAGCTCCACTGTTTTCTGCCTTGATGAAGTGTGTGGGTCTGGTGAAATCTGTGGCATTTCAAACTACAGTCGTGGATGCTACAGGAGTGAGTCAACCACTATCAAATTGTCTTTGATGCTATGAAGTCTTGACTAACTTTAAAGGGCATTATTGGGTTAGGGATTGTTGCAAGAGTGTACAGAAGAAAACCATGCAAGGGATCTTGTTCTGATGTCTCACTGGAGAAACAGTGTTTCTTTCCCTTATTTGTGTTGTCAGATATAAGAAACATGCTAAAATACAGGGGATGTGCAGCATTAGGAGTCGGCGTAATCTAAGCAAGCACAGTTCTATTCAGGGGTGAATTATATGAGAGTCAAGTGTTTCTCCTTTTTTCCCAGGTGGCCCATGTATGCCAAATCCTTGTAAGAATGATGGCATTTGCTCTGAAACTTCCAATAGCACCTCCCTCCACTTCTGTGAATGTTCAGAACTCTACACAGGACAAAACTGTGAGGCTGAAAAAATAGGTAATAAAAGTATTTCCCTGTCTGCATTAACACATCACATCATTTTCAAAAACACATCATTTTCAAGAATGTTGTTATGGAGAAGACTGGTCTTGCTCTTAATTTTCATCATGTAGGTTAGCAACCCAGTGGGTGAGAGCCAGTGCTCATCCAAGCAGAGAGAAGGGTCAGAAGTCCTGGAGAGGTACCAGAAAGCAGCATAGCAGCGCTTGGTACAGCACACAGGACCTGGTCTGGCACCACTCCAGAAAGCTACAGAGAACACAGAAAAACCAAACAGACAGACAAGGGTGGAGAAAAACCATTTCTGTTCACAGCATGGTTAGCTTTCAGTGACAGGGCTCTTGTGTTTTCTTCAGCTGAAGACCCTGACACAGAGGATTCGGACCACACAGTTGCCATTGTCGTCGGAGTTGTGGCAGGTGTAGCTGTTATTGTCATTCTCATCTCCTCTACAGTGTACCTGTTCAGGTAAGGCTTTTCCCAGCTTTGCTACATTCAGCAAAGACACCTCTTTTAGCACCTGTAAACCTCAAAACTCTCATCAGTCACATACCTGCAAAAGCAGAAAGGAGCCATAGCATTGTGGATCTCTTCTGAGGAATGTGAGGGAAAACTTAACTTGTTTTATCAGGAATTAACACATTCCATTTCTTTTACACAAGGCATTTGCATCACGTTTCATAAAACTCTAGCTTCTCCAAAACCCAGTTCCATTCATGCTTACAGCATCTCTCACTATAAATAAGAATTGAAATTAAAATGAGTTGTTCTTTTCTTTCCCCCCCCCCCCATTGTACAGAAGGAAGAGAAAGATGGATAAAGTTACAATAACGAGGGATTCTTCTTTGCAATGGTCCAGGGATAAATTGGATGCTAGAGAACGTGAACAAGATTATGGCTGCATCGTGAACAGGGCATTTGATCAAAATGAATACCCAAATACACATCCATAGTTAAGAATATTATTCCTATTGATTTGTCATACTTTTTACTCTTGTATTTTAACCCTATTTCTAATGCTTTGAGAATAAATTAGAATAAATTTATCATTGCATTTGTTGAAAACCTTTGTCATTGTTCATTTAAAATATCTCTCAAATATCACAGTGTAGACCCAAACTGAAATACGTTTTAACTTACAGAAGAGACTTTGTTGTCTTCAAAGGATGTTTGAAAAGCACAAATTCCAGACAGACCTTGATGGCACAAGTGTGCTGCACAACATCACATACACACCTCTGAGAGATGTACAAACCATAGACTGATGTGGTCAGAATTTAAACTGAAAGAGAGTAGGTTAAGGTTAGATATCTGAAAGTAGGTTTATGTTAGATCTTAGAAAGAAATTCCTTACTATGAGGGTGGTGAGGCACTGGAATAGGTTGTCCAGAGAAGTTGTGGATGCCCTGTCCCTGAAAGAGTTCAGGGCCAGGCTGGATGGAGCTTCAAGCAATCTGGTCTAATGAAAGGTGTCCCTGCCCATGGCAGAGGATTGGAACTGGATGATCTTTAGGTTCCTTCCAGCCCAAACATTCTGTGATTCTACGAACTAGTTACAGCATCCCAGGCAGGATGAGACCTGATCTCTCTTCATGAGATTTTATCCAAATCCTTCCATGGGGAGGGGATTAGTTGAATGACATGGACACAGTTCTTTACCCTTCTTCTGGCAAGGCATGTCCAGCTGGGGAGAGAAAGAAACAAGACACTGAGTTCACTTGAGGACAGATGTAATATAAAGGATGACCTCCATTATCTTCTTAGAGTGTAGGGGACAAGAAACAGGCTTGTCATCAGTCCCCAACCTGTGAGGGCTAAGTAAGAGCAGAACTTAACAAAAACTTTCTGAAGAATGAGATTGTATCATAAACTCTCCTTGGGGGTCTTTGCAAACTCAGAAGCTGCCACACTGATGAACGTGAGAGGAGCTCTGCATCAACTCAGCCCCAGACCCCACTAAGGAGTACCCTACATCAGGAGACCAAAGGTATTCACAGCAATGCCAACTTACATGCTGTGTGAGAGACCCACCCCATGACAAACCACTCACAAAGCTCAGGGACTGAAGCACTGCCTGAGCCTTGTCCAAGCCCAGAACGGATTAGCAGGGCCATGAGTGAAGCTTTGAGGTGTAAAGCACCACGAAAATATTTCTGGTGCTTTTCCAGTTCGTTGCAGGTTACTTTCTGATTGTTGAGGAAAACATACACTGCAGGCAGCTCAGTGTACAACTGCACTGTAAGATGCAGATTGAGCTCTGGGTGGCAAGGCCTGACTGAACTGGTGCCAACACTTTAAGTAACAAAGGGCAGGGGAACCTGTGACACAAGCACATGTACAGACACTCAGAAATAACAGGAGCTGAGGACCCCAGACGGTGAAGGTACAAAATCTATGTTTCTTTTGTTTGGGGTTCCTCCTTGTATGCATCCAGCTCAAGCTGTTGTTTTTTTGGTTTGTTTTTTTGGGTTTTTGGGTTTTTTTGGGTTTTTTGTTTTGTTTGTTTTGTTTTGTTTTGTTTTGTTTTGTTTTGTTGCACCATGAATAATTTATTTTAAGGATCCAGATGTTTGAGACTCTGCTATGGCAAACCTGGGACCACACAGGTGAGAAGCCTTTGAATGTGTGAGTGTGAGGTGTACAGGGAGTCAAGGGAGGCTCCTCAAAGGGACTCTGACAGGGCTTCAGTCCCAGGTCAAGTGCAGCAAGTGTGACTGCCAGAGTGGGTCCTGGATGGTCAAACAGGAGGGTTTTCTTAACAAGGTTTGCTATTTTTTTCTGATGTAATGCTTGTTATTATTTTATTACCTTTTTTCCTTTCCCTTGTTCCCATAAACTCATGTGTGCTGTTAGCCAGAGAAGTATTTGCAGTCTGTGGTGAGTTAGGTTATTCTGGTCCATTCAAGAGCACACCAGCTGTCCATACACACAGGCTACATCTATTTTGGAAAGGATATGAATAGAAAGGGCCTTTCAACCTCATTACACAATGAAAATGAATCAGTGAGGGAGACCTACTCGTGCACAAATGAACTGTCAACTTTATGCTGGAATTTCACTGTGTTTATAATACATCTTTGCTGCCTGTTCAGTGGCAGTTTCTATTGCACTCTCGTGCCTGCCCAGCGTGATTCAGTGACTGCCGAGCAGTGCTGAGCACACTCACCTCCCTTTGCATTGGGTGGGAGCACAGGTCAGTCCCTCCCCTGCAGGATCCCAGCTCAGGCTCCCCTAAGCAACAGGACCCTGCTGTGCCCAGGTAAAGCAGTTATCTGGTTTTCCATGTATATGTTTGGGGTTTTTTCCATACCACAAGAATTACCTTGTTGATTAAATTTCCACTGCAAAGCTTTGCAAATAGTTCAAATTTAAAGAAGGGGATGACGCAGAAAGCAGAACTGCTGTTCAATGCTCTTCTGAATTAATAATTATTGTCACTAGAAGACAGAAAGATGGCAAATCTTCCACTGCTCTCATCTTCTATATCAACCAGCTTACTCCCTAGACTTCTGAAATGCAAGGCTTTAAATACCGCTAAGTTCAACTTACCCAGAGGACACTTTTCTCATTAGTTTTAGCACGCTGTGCCAACACCAGTAAAGGAAATGGCTGTACGGGCTCAGCTGCGCTTATCTCTTGGACTAGGACCCTTGCTGGGCACAATCATGAAATTCCTCTGCTGTCCCAGAGGAAATGCCCAGGCCACGTTTCAAAAACACATCCTAAAAATCCCTTTGCCCTAAAATTATTTCAGGCAGAGCTCCACCTACTTTGTTTCTCATCACGGTGAAGAAGTAGAACGGCAGCACCCATTCTTCTCTCGAAAGGTTTGCTGGTGAGAGATGCTCACTCACCGCTCGGCCGAGCGGGACCGGAGCCACTCCGCGGCTGGAGGGGCTCGAGGAGCTGCGGGTGTTTTCGGGAAAGTGGCAGCGACAGGTCCTCCTCGGGAACAGGATCGCATTTTCCACTAAAGCAGCGATTTTGGCAACAATCCCGGGAGCGGAGCGTTCGGATTGGGAGAAGCGGTGGGAGGGAAAAGGCGGGGGTGGTGGGATGGGACGGGATGGATGACGAGACGGACGGGGCGGCTCTCGATCAGAGTCGCCCGGGAGCCCGACAGGATCGGCGCAAGCGCCATCTTCATTTATAGCGGGAGCAGCGGGCCGGGAGCCCGGCCACGGCAGCAGCGGGACAGGCGCTGAGGTGAGCGGAGCTCTCGGGATGCGAGCGGGCGTTTCCCGCAGGATGCGGCCCCCTCCAGGCTGCCGGCGGCGGGCGCGGCTCTGCCGGGGGGCCGGAGGTGCCCCCGAGCCCGGCCCGGCCCGGCCCCGGCGGAGCCCCGAGCGGAGCGCGGCCGGGAGGGGAGCGCGGGCAGTGGGCGGGCGGCAGCGGCCCCGAGCCGGCCCCGGCCGAGCGGCGCCGCCGCTCCGGCAGCGCTGCCCTCGAGGCCCGCCACTGACACCTCCGTGCCCGCGCTCCCGGCAGCTGCCCCGGCACGGCCTCGCCTCCCGCTGCGCTCTGCCCTGCGCTGAGCCCGCCCGGCTGCAGCCGCACGCCCTGACTGCACGGGCCTGAGATGGCAGAAGGCAAGTGCCACCCCCAGCCTGGGGACCTGATCGAGATCGACCGGCCACTTTACCAGCATTGGGCGCTCTACATGGGGGATGGATATGTCATCAACGTCACACCTGTAGGTAAGGCTTGTGCCGCGTGGCAAGGTGCAGAGTGGGTGTTGGGATGCCCCAGGATCCCTGTCTCCTTTCATATCCTGTTGCTAGTAGACCCTGTGTATGTAGATGACCTTTCCAGGAGCAGAGGAAACCCATCAGAGGTCGTGGAGAGTCCAGAGAAGTTCTTCCTGACTGCTTTATGTCCTCCCTGACTTCTCCAGATGAAGGAGCCCCATCTCTGTCAGTGAGCACCACATCAATATTCACCAGAAAGGCCAAGGTGAAGAAGCAGCTCCTGAAGGATGTGGTGGGAAATGATACATGGCATGTCAACAACAAGTATGACCGCTCCCGCACTCCTCGCCCAGTGGAGGAGATCATCCGGTGTGCGGAGCAATGGATTGACAGGGAGGTGCCATATGATGTGCTTTATGAGAACTGTGAACACTTTGTCACAGAGCTTCGCTATGGAGAAGGAGTCTCTGATCAGGTGAGTGCCCCGGGGTGAGCCCCTGGGTGCCTCCCAGGGCACCTCCTGCTGCTCGCTGTGAGCCGCGGCACTGGGACACAGCCTGCAGCCTGCATGGGGCCAGCCGAGTGCCGGGCTGGGCTGCAAAGCAGCGCTGCCTCCCCATGGCCCCTGGCCCTGGAGGGTCACTGTGCTGTGTCTGCATCCTGACAGTGCCCTCTCAGTGAGTGCCACTTCCTCGGGGTACAAACCTGGGTGTTGTCCCTTCTGCTCATGGGGCACAGCAGCCTCTCACTGATTTGTTTACCCTGAGTATCCCTGCCTTATCTTTATTATCATGCTGGGAGAGCATGAGTGCCCCTCAAGTTTCCAGCCTGTGTTTTACTTTCTTTTTGTAGGTCAGAAAAGCAGTTATTGGTACTATAGCAGCCGTAGGAGGTATCATTCTTGCTGGTCTTGCCACCGCTGTTGTGAAGGGCTTGTCTGGGGACTCATCCAGGAGAGAGAGAAAGCACTACTGATGGGCTGTCAGAAAGAGCTCAGAGCAAGGCAGAGGAATCTCCTGGCTACAGTGGTCACTGTCAACTTTTGCTGCACCTGCCATCATGGCTTCCTAGCAACTGTGCCACCCTTGCTATAAACATTAAATAATAATAATATAACAATAAAGAATTAATTTTTACTTAAATAAAATGTTAGAAATCTAAACTTTAATTGTCCCAGACTCTTCTTTTATCTAATTTTCCATCCAAGTTCAACTGTTCAGCCTTGCTTTTCCCTGCTATTTCAATGAGAAACAAAATGTCAAGATCAGCACCGTTTACTGACCTCCAGCAGTACTAGCCTGGTTGCCATATCTCCTTTTATTTCATTGCCTGTGGTGATTTTTGTGGTAGTCTGGGCATATTTGCACTGGTGCAGGCTTTTCATCCATTTTCATCAATTGGTTTCAGTGGGCTTTTTCTGTATTTCTGTGATTTTAACCTCAAATTTCCAAAAAAAGTTGAAAAAAAGTACTGCTGAGGGTTTTCCAGCTGAGACTCTATGTAGGTAGGAAAGCCCTGGCTGCACTGTCTGCAAAGGAGCAGGCAGGGCATGTGCACTTTCTTGGGGTCTGTACTTGTGCTGCTTAGCCTGAGAAACTCCTGGGAGGTTGGGAGGTCAGAGGGAAGGTCAGGTCTTATAAGCTGTATCCTTCAGAGTTGTACAGGTGTGCTCTAGTTTTGGCATGATAGTGTTTTGCTTGGTTTTTCCCTGCCTACAAAGTGTTTCCAAATGTACTGAGCCACACCATTTCCTTGTCACAAAGCTGATGTGTGCATTGTCTTGGAAGAAAACTGTTCAGGCTAAGTGTGCTTTGTTGTCCATTACCTGGAGTATCTGTCTTAAGTGCTTGGAACCAGGTTACCTGCAGCCCACCTGTGAGACACAGAATCCTGTGCTGCTTTTCTTACAGGCACCTGCCTGGACTGCAGAGACAGAACAGCTGTCTGGGAGAGGCTGGTTGGTTTTGTCTGCTCTGAACAGGTTGTCCAGGTTTAACCCCAGCCAGCAACAAAGCACCGGGCAGCTACTCACTCAATCACTCCCCTGCCAGCCCCATCAGGGACAGAATCGGAAGAGTAAAACACTTGTGGCTTGAGAAGAAGTTGGTTTAGTAGGTACACCAAAAGCTTTGCATGCAAGCAAAGCAAAACAAGAAATCAAACCGCTTTTTTAAACAGCAGTTTTTCAATGTTTGAAATAACCAAGCCAGAGTTTCCAGTTGTACTTTGTACTTTGTACATTTGTTATTACATATGAAGAAAGTTTTTCATTGTAACACAGGAAAACACATAATCAAACTGAAAGTGATACTCCTTTCTGGATTCCTGGAAATGGAATTGAAACTTCTTTTATGGCTAAGCTATTAAGGTTATACAGAACTTCTGAACTTTCCTGCGCTCAGGGCGTTCTCTCTGCACACCCTGACAAGGGACCACCATGTGAGGGCAGCATTTCGACCGCTCACGTCTCTACTTCATACTGCAATACAAGAGAGCTGGCATTATTTTATCTGGGAAATTGTCTTCTTGTTCTTGAAAGCTGCAACATTTCACAGAATGCAGAAATTTACATTTGTACTGTGCTTCACTTTCCAGTCAGGGTGATGTTGCTCATTATGGGATGCCTGTCCATGGAGCCTTTGGGTGCATTGACAGGATTTGGTGGAACACTGCCCAAAACCATAAAGTGAGTGTGAGGAGGAGCAGCAAATCCATGGCTTGCTACATTCTGCACTCCTGAGCCTTTCTAGGAAATGCTGGAGAGGCCTGACACCTGCTTGAGTTGCCACGGAGAGAGTCAAGACTGTTCTTTTCCCAACAGCTGAGAGAACTCTCGATGCCTGTGCAGTGGGGCACACCCAAGCACAGGCACAGTGTGTCCTTAAAAAGAATGGCATTTGTAGGACATTAAACAATCTGAATCTAGTTCACATCAGATGATGAAAACCTGGGCTGATTCAGTACAAGACAGGGAAGCCCCAGCGTTGTGCAGCCCTGAGCCTGGCTCAAGGGCCTCCACTGGTCCTCTTCACTCAGTTTGTAGGTGGGGCAATGTACATCTAATCCATCAAGCTGTTGCTGCAAAGTTTTTTGCATCTACGCAAGGCCGTTTGCACTGGCCATTTACATCCTCTGATGGGTTTAGGACTGGTTGACTGGCATGCAAGCCAGACTGTAAACATGATCCAGAAGTTGTTTCACAATATGATATCGTGCCATATGTACGGGAGCGGTGTCAGGGCTGTTGCCTGCATGGAAGAGAAGGACCCCTTGAGGGCAGGGGCATCTAGAAAGAAGGGAAGGCACAGCTTCAAAGGTGGCAGAATCCGATTTTTCACCCAACGGTGGTTTTGGCAACAATCTCGAGAGCAAAACCATAATGGAGCAGGGGGCGGGTGTGCCCCGATGGGATGGCTCCGGGGCAAAGCCGGCAGTGGGCACGGAGGGTAACACCCAGCGCCTGCTGCTCCTCATTTATAGCGGGGGAGAGGACTTTGAGCCCGGCCACGGCAGCAGCGGGACAGGCGCTGAGGTGAGCGGAGCTCTCGGGATGCGAGCGGGCGTTTCCCGCAGGATGCGGCCCCCTCCAGGCTGCCGGCGGCGGGCGCGGCTCTGCCGGGGGGCCGGAGGTGCCCCCGAGCCCGGCCCGGCCCGGCCCCGGCGGAGCCCCGAGCGGAGCGCGGCCGGGAGGGGAGCGCGGGCAGTGGGCGGGCGGCGGCGGCCCCGAGCCGGCCCCGGCCGAGCGGCGCCGCCGCTCCGGCAGCGCTGCCCTCGGGGCCCGCCGCTGACACCTCCGTGCCCGCGCTCCCGGCAGCTGCCCCGGCACGGCCTCGCCTCCCGCTGCGCTCTGCCCTGCGCCGAGCCCGCCCGGCTGCAGCCGCACGCCCTGACTGCACGGGCCGGAGATGGGACAGGACAATTGCAAACCCCAGCCCGGAGACCTGATCGAGATCGACCGGACAGGTTACCAGCACTGGGCGCTCTACGTGGGGGATGGATATGTCATCCATGTGACAGGTAAGGCTTGTGCCGCCTGGCACGGTGCAGAATGGGTGTTGGGATGCCCCAGGAGCCCTGTCTTCCTCCATGGGCCCCTGTGTGTGAGGCTGTCTTTTCCAGAAGGAATCAGAAACCCATCTGAGGTCCTGGAGGGGCCAGAGAGGGTCTACCTTCCTGCATTATCTCCCCCTTGGCTTCCCCAGATGAAGAAGCCACATCCCTTACGCTTAGCAGCTCTTCAATACGTGCCACAACGGCCAAGGTGAAGAAGCAGCTCCTGAAGGCTGTGGTGCGAAATGATAAATGGCGTGTCAACAACAAGTATGACCGCTCCCGCACTCCTTTCCCTGTGAAGAAGATCATCCAGCGTGCAGAGAAATGCGTTGGCAGGGAGATACCATATGATGTGCTTTACCAGAACTGTGAACACTTTGTGACAAAGCTTCGCTATGGAGAAGGAGTCTCTGATCAGGTGAGTGCCACGGGGTGAGCCCCTGGGTGCCTCCCAGGGCACCTCCTGCTGCTCGCTGTGAGCCGCGGCACTGGGACACAGCCTGCAGCCTGCATGGGGCCAGCCGAGTGCCGGGCTGGGCTGCAAAGCAGCGCTGCCTCCCCAGAGCCCCTGGCCCTGGAGGGTCACTGTGCTGTGTCTGCACCCTGACAGTGCCCTCTCAGTGAGTGCCACCTCCTCGGGGTACAAACCTGGGTGTTGTCCCTTCTGCTCATGGGGCACAGCAGCCTCTCACTGGTTTAATTACTCTCATTATCACTGTGTTTTCTATATTATCATGCTAGCGGATGTGTAAATATAAGTGCTCCTCATGTTTCCAGCCTATTTTTTGCTTTTTCTTTTATAGGTCAGAAATGCAGCTGTTGGAGGTATAGGTATAATAGGAACTACACTTTTTGGTGCTGCTGTTCTTATTGGGATGGCACTGTCTGAGAACAAATCCAGGACATAGTACTAATGATGATCTGTCAGGAAGAGTTCAGAGCAAGGCAGAGTGAGCTCCTGGAAACAGCAGTCAGCTTTTCCTACACCTGCCATCAAGGCTTCCTACCAACTGTGCCACCTTTGCTGTAAACATTCAATAATCCTTAATAAAATGTCTGCAATATGAAATAATATTGCCCTAAAATCCTCTTTTATCTCAATATAGTTTTGTGTGCAAGTTCAGCAGTCCAGCCTTGCTTCTCCCTGCCATCCCATTGAGAAAAAAGTCAGTGTTTTACTGGCATGCTCTAATTTTTACATGATGGTGTTTTACTCACTTTTTCCCTTCCTGCAAATGTACTTTTCTCAGTCTCTTCTGACTCTCTTTGGGAGCAGCAGAAACCCCAGTGTGGGGAGGCCTGACAGGAAAACCCAATAGGTCTTTCGTTATCAGCTGTTTGCTCCACTGTGCCATTGAAATTTCTCCCATCACCCTCTAAGTGCAGTGATTGCTGGCATTGGACCTGGACAAGTATGCCAGGTGATTTTTATGGTCCCTTCCAACATCAACCCATTCTAGGATTCTACTCTTTAGGCTGCCAAGAAACCACTGAAGCTTAAAGAATTGCAAGGGCAGCCAGGAACCTTTGACCCTTGGAGCTGTGGCTGTTCTCTCTTCAGTGACCAAATGTTGATTCCAAAGCTTTCATAGTCCCAGCACCAGATCAATTTTCCCCCAGCCAGCAGAAAGGCAAAGCTGAGCTTCCTGCATGCTGGGGGCGAGGGATGTGAAGAATGAGCTGTGCAGTACCAATGCTTCATCTCCCAATGTACTGAGCCACACCATTTCCTTGTCACAAAGCTGATGTGTGCATTGTCTTGGAAGAAAACTGTTCAGGCTAAGTGTGCTTTGTTGTCCATTACCTGGAGTATCAGACTTAAGTGTTTGGAACCAGGTTACCTGCAGCCCACCTGTGAGACACAGAATCCTGTGCTGCTTTTGTTACAGGCACTTGCCTGGCCTGCAGGGACAGGTGAGAGCAGAACAGCTATCTGGGAGAGGCTGGCTGGTTTTGTTTGCTCTGAACAGGTTGTCCAGGTTTAACCCCAGCCAGCAACAAAGCACCAGGAGGCCACTTGCCCCTTCCCTGCCAGTCCCATCAGGGAGAGAATCAGAAGAGTTGAAGTGAAAAACTTGTGGCTTGAGAAAAATATGGTTTACTAGGTAAACCAAAAACTTTGCAAGCTAGCAAAGAAAGATGATTAATTCATTGTTTTTTTACACATAAGTTTTTCAATATTTGAAGTAATCAAGCCAAGAATTCCTGTTGTTTTTTTGCCGCCCTTTGTTATTTCATCCCAAAATTTTTTTGGCTTTAATACAGGAAATCATGATCTAATCAAATTGAAACTGAAACTCCTTAATGGATTCTTGGAAATGAAGGGCTTTAGAGGAATCTCAGCCATGTGAATCTGGTTCACATCAGCGGATGAAAACTTGGGCTGAAGTCCCAGCCTTGTGCAGCCCCAAGCCTGGCTGTAGGGTCTCACCTCACTCTCTTTACTGTGTTTGCACGTGGTTTAACATAGAACTATTCCATGCTTTTTGCTGCATAGTCCTGTGCATTTATACAGGGCCATTTGAAATCTCTGTGCCATCTGTGGTACTGACTGTTTGACTGGTACCCAAGGCAAGTTTTAATCAGTAAACATGGGTGATTGTTCTGCCAGGTAATGTCCTGTGGAATGACAGGGTTAGTGCTGTTGCTCATCACTGGACAGGTGGACCAGATGGGGACAGACGCCCATTGCAATGAGGCGGCAGTTCAGCTTCCTCGGGTACAAGATGAGATTTTCCAATCAGCAGGTGATCGTTGCACCACGAGTGGGAGCAGAGCCTTATATGGAGTGAGGGGTCCAGTGTGAAGGGAGGGGCCGACTCCGGAGAGGTGCTGGCATTGAGCCCGGCAAAATTCACGCAATTTCCTCTGCCATGATCTTTATAACGGGAGCAGCCGGTCAAGCGAGTCCACGGCAGCAGCGGGACAGGCGCTGAGGTGAGCGGAGCTCTCGGGATGCGAGCGGGCGTTTCCCGCAGGATGCGGCCCCCTCCAGGCTGCCGGCGGCGGGCGCGGCTCTGCCGGGGGGCCGGAGGTGCCCCCGAGCCCGGCCCGGCCCGGCCCCGGCGGAGCCCCGAGCGGAGCGCGGCCGGGAGGGGAGCGCGGGCAGTGGGCGGGCGGGGGCAGCCGGGGACAGCGGCAGCAGCCGGAGCCCGGCCGGGCCGGCCTCGGCCCTCGGCCGATGCGCTGCTGCGAGCGGAGCCGTTCGCTGCCTCGCCCTGGCCGGCGGGCGGCAGCGGCCCCGAGCCGGCCCCGGCCGAGCGGCGCCGCCGCTCCGGCAGCGCTGCCCTCGGGGCCCGCCGCTGACACCTCCGTGCCCGCGCTCCCGGCAGCTGCCCCGGCACGGCCTCGCCTCCCGCTGCGCTCTGCCCTGCGCCGAGCCCGCCCGGCTGCAGCCGCACGCCCTGACTGCACGGGCCTGAGATGGGACAGGACAATTGCAAACCCCAGCCTGGAGACCTGATCGAGATCGACCGGACAGGTTACCAGCACTGGGCGCTCTACGTGGGGGATGGATATGTCATCCATGTGACAGGTAAGGCTTGTGCTGCCTGGCACGGTGCAGAATGGGTGTTGGGATGCCCCAGGAGCCCTGTCTTCCTCCATGGGCCCCTGTGTGTGAGGCTGTCTTTTCCAGAAGGAATCAGAAACCCATCTGAGGTCCTGGAGGGGCCAGAGAGGGTCTACCTTCCTGCATTATCTCCCCCTTGGCTTCCCCAGATGAAGGAGCCACATCCCTTACGCTTAGCAGCTCTTCAATATGTGCCACAACGGCCAAGGTGAAGAAGCAGCTCCTGAAGGATGTGGTGGGAAATGATAAATGGCGTGTCAACAACAAGTATGACCGCTCCCGCACTCCTTTCCCTGTGAAGAAGATCATCCAGCGTGCGGAGAAATGCGTTGGCAGGGAGGTACCATATGATGTGCTTAACAAGAACTGCGAACACTTTGTGACAGAGCTTCGCTATGGAGAAGGAGTCTCTGATCAGGTGAGTGCCACGGGGTGAGCCCCTGGGTGCCTCCCAGGGCACCTCCTGCTGCTCGCTGTGAGCCGCGGCACTGGGACACAGCCTGCAGCCTGCATGGGGCCAGCCGAGTGCCGGGCTGGGCTGCAAAGCAGCGCTGCCTCCCCAGAGCCCCTGGCCCTGGAGGGTCACTGTGCTGTGTCTGCATCCTGACAGTGCCCTCTCAGTGAGTGCCACCTCCTCGGGGTACAAACCTGGGTGTTGTCCCTTCTGCTCATGGGGCACAGCAGCCTCTCACTGGTTTAATTACTCTCATTATCACTGTGTTTTCTGTATTATCATGCTAGCGGAAGTGTCAATATAAGTGTTCCTCATGTTTCCAGCCTATTTTTTGCTTTCTCTTTTATAGGTCAGAAATGCAGCTGCTGGAGGTATAGGTATAATAGGAACTGCACTTCTTGGTGCTGCTGCTCTTATTGGGATGGCACTGTCTGAGAACAAATCCAGGACATAGTACTAATGATGATCTGTCAGGAAGAGTTCAGAGCAAGGCAGAGTGAGCTCCTGGAAACAGCAGTTAGCTTTTCCTACACCTGCCATCAAGGCTTCCTACCAATTGTGCCACCCTTGCTGTAAACATTCAGTAAGCCTTAATAAAATGTCTGAAATACACACTCATATTTCCCTGAAATTCTCTTTTATCTATTTGACTGTAGCTTTGTTTAGCAGTTTAACATTTTAGCCTTGCTTCTCCCTGCCATCCCAGTAAGGAATAACAAGTCAAGATTGTCACCATTCAAAGTGATCCCCAGCAGCTCTAGCCTGCTTGGCACGTGAGTTTTTATTTTATTGCGTGTGATGGTTTTTGTGGTAGTCTGGCAGAAATTGCAAGCAAGTTATCTATTCCTTCCCCATCCCACACACCTGCCCTCGAGTGGTTTGCTGAGCACAGGTGCAGAATTTTCAGCCTGTTTTGACCAGCTAGCTCCTGGAAGCTCGTTCTATGTTCCATTGAAATAAAAAGGACTGCTGAGGGTTTACTGTGTTTTCCAGGTGTGTCCTGGTGTGTGTGTGTGGGTGTGTGTGGTACAAAAGACAGAAGGCTTCCAAGGAGGGCGGGAGCCTTCCCGGAAGAGAAATAAGACCCCTCGATCCTGATGATTATGACTTCGAAAGCACGGGTCTTTGCGGCAGGACTGAGGAAAGAGGAATCGGAGTTCTTCAGCAGAACGTGCACAGCCCAGAGCGGCCAAGCGCAGATTCCGCGGAGCGCCGCTGTGCCGCCCTGCGGGGCCAGGCCGGGGGAGCCGCGGGGAACGCGCGGGGCGGCACCGACACCGACACACGGCGGGGATAGCCACGGCACCGACACCGACACACCGCGGGGATAGCCACGGCACCGACACCGACACACCGCGGGGATAGCCACGGCACCGACACCGAACCACGGCGGGGCAGGCACAGGGCGCACACTGCCGCGGCTCCGGCTCCGCATCCCCCGAGCGCAGGAGAGCGCCAGCAGCTACAAAACTGCCAAACCCCCCCCCCCCCCCATTCCACTCCCCAAACCACTCCGCTGACGTCCCGAGCTATCAGCCAATTCCGTTATCGGACTTATTCACCCGCCATCCACCTCCACGCAGTCACCCTCTCCTCCTCCCAGTGTCTTCACCGTGACAATGGGAAAAATTCACCTCGAAGCCTAAACCCGTAAGAGTGGGAAAGCCCTGGGTGCCGGCTGTGCAAAAGGACAGGCAGGGAATGTGCCCCGTCTTGAAACCCTTGGCAGCCTGTGCTGCCTAAAGTGAGCAGCTCCGGGAGCTGGGGAGTTAGGAAGGAAGGGCAGGTCTTACAGGCTGTATCCTTCCGTGTTTTACAGGGTCATTCTCATTTTGGTGCGATGGTGTTTTGCTCCGTTTTTACCTGCCGACAAAATGTTGCTTTCCCTGGCTTTTCTGGCTCTCTTTGGCAACAGCAGACCCCCAGCGTGGGGAGGTCTGACAGAAAAACCCCAGATGCCGTTTTGTCTCTTAGCTTTCTTCCACTGTGGCATCAAAATTTCCCACTTCACCCTGTTTGTGCAGTGATTGTTGGCCTTGAACTTGAACAAGACTGCTAGGTGATAATTATGATCCCTACCAACTCTCAACCCATTCTCAGATTCTGCTCTTTGAGCTGCCAAAACACTGACTTGCTTAAAGAATTACAAAGGCATCCAGGAGCCTATGACCCTTAGAGCTGTGAGTATTCTCCCTTCAATGACCAAATGTTCATTCCAAAGCATTCATAAGCATTCTAAAGAACCAGATCAATCTTCCCCAGCCAGCAGAAAGGCAAAGCTGAGCTTCCTGCATGCTGGGGGTGAGGGATGTGAAGAATGAGCTGTGCAGTACCAATGCTTCATCTCCCAATGTACTGAGCCACACCATTTCCTTGTCACAAAGCTGATGTGTGCATTGTCTTGGAAGAAAACTGTTCAGGCTAAGTGTGCTTTGTTGTCCATTACCTGGAGTATCAGACTTAAGTGTTTGGAACCAGGTTACCTGCAGCCCACCTGTGAGACACAGAATCCTGTGCTGCTTTTGTTACAGGCACTTGCCTGGCCTGCAGGGACAGGTGAGAGCAGAACAGCTATCTGGGAGAGGCTGGCTGGTTTTGTTTGCTCTGAACAAGTTGTTCAGGTGCACATCAGACGATAAAAACTTGGGCTGATTTAGAACAGGTCAGGGAAGCCCCAGCATTCTGGGCCCTATATCTGTGTTTGTTGATGGAGTTAACACAAATCTTCTCCATTTGCTTTTTTTCTGCAAAAAAAGGGCAGATGGAGGGCATTTGGGGTCCCTCTGCGTCATCCTCTGCCCTTTCTGGTAGCAACTGTTTGACTCGTACCCAAATCAGGTTTTAAGCATAATCCAATGGTTTTTGTTCTACAAGAAAAAGTCCAGAGGAGTGAAGGGTGCAGGGTCAGGGCTGTTGCCCATCAGTGGATGGGAGGATAACTCGGGGATAGACTCTCCCTATAATGAGGCAGTGGCCCTACTTTCTCGACAACAAGAACACGTTTTCCACTCGACGGGTGGTTTCTGGCACTAACCTAGGGAGAGGAGTCGTTCCGCTGCACGGGATGGGTGGTGTCAGACGTGCAGCTGCCAGGGCAGGAAGGGCAGTGACAGCGGAACGATTGCGCAATTGCCTCTACAAAAGTATTTCTAGAGGGAGCAGCGGGCCGGAAGCCCGACCGCGACAGCAGCGGGACAGGCGCTGAGGTGAGCGGAGCTCGGGGGGTGCGAGCGGGCGTTTCCCGCAGGATGCGGCCCCCTCCGGGCTGCCGGCGGCGGGCGCGGGTCTGCCGGGGGCCGGAGGTACCCCCGAGCTCGGGCACGGCTCGGCCCCGCCGCGGGCACCCCGGGCAGCCGCGTCCCGGCACCGGAGCGGGCCCGGCCCGGCCCCGGCGGAGCCCCGAGCGGAGCGCGGCCGGGAGGGGAGCGCGGGCAGTGGGCGGGCGGCAGCGGCCCCGAGCCGGCCCCGGCCGAGCGGCGCCGCCGCTCCGGCAGCGCTGCCCTCGGGGCCCGCCGCTGACACCTCCGTGCCCGCGCTCCCGGCAGCTGCCCCGGCACGGCCTCGCCTCCCGCTGCGCTCTGCCCTGCGCTGAGCCCGCCCGGCTGCAGCCGCACGCCCTGACTGCACGGGCCTGAGATGGCAGAAGGCAAGTGCCACCCCCAGCCTGGGGACCTGATTGAGGTCGACCGGACAGGTTACCAGCACTGGGCGCTCTACGTGGGGAATGGATATGTCATCCATGTGACAGGTAAGGCTTGTGCTGCCTGGCACGGTGCAGAGTGGGTGTTGAGATGCCCCAGGAGCCCTGTCTCCTTTCATGGGCTGGGGGTGGATGCTGTGTGTGGCTGTCTTTCCCAGGAGCAGTCAGAAACCCATTTGAGGTCTTGGAGGGGCCAGAGAAGATCTGCCTGACTGCCTTATCTCCCCCTTGGCTTCCCCAGATGAAGGAGCCACATCCCTTACGCTTAGCAGCTCTTCAATACGTGCCACAACGGCCAAGGTGAAGAAGCAGCTCCTGAAGGATGTGGTGGGAAATGATAATTGGCGTGTCAACAACAAGTATGACCACTACTATACTCCTTTCCCTGTGAAGAAGATCATCCAGCATGCAGAGCAATGGGTTGGCAGGGTGGTACCATATGATGTGCTTAACAAGAACTGTGAGCACTTTGTGACAATGCTTCGCTATGGAGAAGGAGTCTCTGATCAGGTGAGTGCCCCGGGGTGAGCCCCTGGGTGCCTCCCAGGGCACCTCCTGCTGCTCGCTGTGAGCCGCGGCACTGGGACACAGCCTGCAGCCTGCATGGGGCCAGCCGAGTGCCAGGCTGGGCTGCAAAGCAGCGCTGCCTCCCCAGAGCCCCTGCCCCTGGAGGGTCACTGTGCTGTGTCTGCACCCTGACAGTGCCCTCTTAGTGAGTGCCACCTCCTCGGGGTACAAACCTGGGTGTTTTCCCTTCTGCTCATGGGGCACAGCAGCCTCTCACTGGTTTAATTACTCTCATTATCACTGTGTTTTCTATATTATCATGCTAGCGGAAGTGTCAATATAAGTGTTCCTCATGTTTCCAGCCTATTTTTTGCTTTCTCTTTTATAGGTCAGAAATGCAGCTGCTGGCAGTGCTGCAGCTGCCGCAGCTGGTGTTGCTGGTGTTGCTGGAGCTATCAGTGTTGCTGGTTTTGCTGGTGTTGCTGGTATTGCTGGTGCTGCTGGTGTTGCTGCTGCTGCTGCTGCTGCTCTTGGGATGGCATTGTATGAGACCGCATCCAAGAAATAGTGCTACTGATGGGCTGTCAGGAAGAACTCAGAGCAAGGCAGGGGGATCTCCTGGCCACAGTGGTCATGGGTCAGCTTTTGCTACACCTGCCATCAAGGCTTCCTACCAATTGTGCCACCCTTGCTGTAAACATTCAATAAGCCTTAATAAAATGTCTGAAATACACACTCATATTTCCCTGAAATTCTCTTTTATCTATTTGACTGTAGCTTTGTTTAGCAGTTTAACATTTTAGCCTTGCCTCTCCCTGCCATCCCAGTAAGGAATAACAAGTCAAGATTGTCACCATTCAAAGTGATCCCCAGCAGCTCTAGCCTGCTTGGCTCGTGAGTTTTTATTTTATTGCGTGTGATGGTTTTTGTGGTAGTCTGGGAGAAATTGCAAGCAAGTTATCTATTCCTTCCCCATCCCACACACCTGCCCTCGAGTGGTTTGCTGAGCACAGGTGCAGAATTTTCAGCCTGTTTTGACCAGCTAGCTCCTGGAGGTTCTTTCTATGTTCCATTGAAATAAAAAGGACTGCTGAGGGTTTACTGTGTTTTCCAGGTGTGTCCTGGTGTGTGTGTGTGGGTGTGTGTGGTACAAAAGACAGAAGGCTTCCAAGGAGGGCGGGAGCCTTCCCGGAAGAGAAATAAGACCCCTCGATCCTGATGATTATGACTTCGAAAGCACGGGTCTTTGCGGCAGAACTGAGGAAAGAGGAATCGGAGTTCTTCAGCAGAACATGCACAGCCCAGAGCGGCCAAGCGCAGATTCCGCGGAGCGCCGCTGTGCCGCCCTGCGGGGCCGGGCCGGGGGAGCCGCGGGGAACGCGCGGGGCGGCCCCGACACCGACACACGGCGGGGATAGCCACGGCACCGACACCGACACACCGCGGGGATAGCCACGGCACCGACACCGACACACCGCGGGGATAGCCACGGCACCGACACCGACACACCGCGGGGATAGCCACGGCACCGACACCGAACCACGGCGGGGCAGGCACAGGGCGCACACTGCCGCGGCTCCGGCTCCGCATCCCCCGAGCGCAGGAGAGCGCCACCAGCTACAAAACTGCCAAACCACCCCCCCCCCCCATTCCACTCCCCAAACCACTCCGCTGACGTCCCGAGCTATCAGCCAATTCCGTTATCGGACTTATTCACCCGCCATCCACCTCCACGCAGTCACCCTCTCCTCCTCCCAGTGTCTTCACCGTGACAATGGGAAAAATTCACCTCGAAGCCTAAACCCGTAAGAGTGGGAAAGCCCTGGGTGCCGGCTGTGCAAAAGGACAGGCAGGGAATGTGCCCCGTCTTGAAACCCTTGGCAGCTTGTGCTGCCTAAAGTGAGCAGCTCCTGGGAGCTGGGGAGTTAGGAAGGAAGGGCAGGTCTTACAGGCTGTATCCTTCCGTGTTTTACAGGGTCATTCTCATTTTGGTGCGATGGTGTTTTGCTCCGTTTTTACCTGCCGACAAAATGTTGCTTTCCCTGGCTTTTCTGGCTCTCTTTGGCAACAGCAGACCCCCAGCGTGGGGAGGTCTGACAGAAAAACCCCAGATGCCGTTTTGTCTCTTAGCTTTCTCCCACTGTGGCATCAAAATTTCCCACTTCACCCTGTTTGTGCAGTGATTGTTGGCCTTGAACTTGAACAAGACTGCTAGGTGATAATTATGATCCCTACCAACTCTCAACCCATTCTCAGATTCTGCTCTTTGAGCTGCCAAAACACTGACTTGCTTAAAGAATTACAAAAGCATCCAGGAGCCTATGACCCTTAGAGCTGTGAGTATTCTCCCTTCAATGACCAAATGTTGATTCCAAAGCATTCATAAGCATTCTAAAGAACCAGATCAATCTTCCCCAGCCAGCAGAAAGGCAAAGCTGAGCTTCCTGCATGCTGGGGGTGAGGGATGTGAAGAATGAGCTGTGCAGTACCAATGCTTCATCTCCCAGTGTACTGAGCCACACCATTTCCTTGTCACAAAGCTGATGCGTGCATTGTCTTGGAAGAAAACTGTTCAGGCTAAGTGTGCTTTGTTGTCCATTACCTGGAGTATCAGACTTAAGTGTTTGGAACCAGGTTACCTGCAGCCCACCTGTGAGACACAGAATCCTGTGCTGCTTTTGTTACTGGCACTTGCCTGGCCTGCAGGGACAGGTGAGAGCAGAACAGCTGTCTGGGAAAGGCTGGCTGGTTTTGTCTGAACAGGTTGTCCAGGTTTAACCCCAGCCAGCAACAAACCACCAGGCACCCACTTGCCCATCACCTATCAGCCCCATCAGGGATGGAATCAGAAGAGTTGAAGTGAAAAACTTGTGGCTTGAGAAAGGTTGGTTTAGTAGGTAAACAAAAAACTTTTCAAGCTAGCAAAGAAAAACAAAGAATTAATTAATTGGTTTTTTAAACATCAAATTTTCTATATTTTAAATGATCAAGACAAGAATTCCTGTTGTTTTCTGCTGCCTTGTGTTATTTCATCCTAAAATGCTTTTTAGTTTTAATACAGGAAACCATGATCTAATCAAGGTGATGTTGAAACTCCTTCTTGGATTCTTTGAAATGGAATCAAAACTTTTTTCACAGCTAAACCAGTTAAGTGGTTTTACAGCTGGCAATGAGTACAGTCAAGGTTGGTCTTTCCCCAAAAGTTGAGAAATATATCCATGTATGTGCTCCGAGGCACAGCCAGGACAGGCACAGCCTCTTCCTAAATGGAGGGGCTTTTGTAGGGATTTCAGCCATGTGAATCTGGTTCACATCAGCAGATGAAAACTTGGACTGAAGTCCCAGCCTTGTGCAGCCCTGAGCCTGGCTGTAGGGTCTCACCTCATTCTCTTTATTGTGTTTGCAGGTGGGTTAACATAAAACTAATACATGCTTTTTGCTGCATAGTCCTGTGCATTTATACAGGGCATTTGAAATCCCTCTGCAACATCCTCTGCCATTTGTGGTACCGACTGTTTGACTGGTACCTGTTATAGATACATATTATAATAACGGCTTTTCACAAAGGTTAAAATGGATTTTGTATGTGTAATGTTAAAGTAACATTGTTATAAAGATACAGTTTTTATTTCTGTTGTTAATTAAGCTTAGACATAGTAGAGAAATAGCTATGTGTGTATTAAAATGCCTGCTTGGATGGGATAACATCCAATTAACACAGGATGAGGACAGCTACTACAGATATGCCAACTATCATCACTCACCGTCTGCAGACAGTGTAGACCACAGGAAGGGATAAAGAGAAGGAGCCAAAACCACAGCCAAGAAACACATATGATATAAAAAGGCGGACCCGAGGAGGGGCCATGTAAAATAGTTCCTGGAAAATGTAAACTAGTTATGGATATGCATAAGGATCTATGAATATGCAACAGGCTGGTGTGAGGTATTTAAGGAGTATTTCCTCCGGCAGCGCTGCCCTCGGGGCCCGCCGCTGACACCTCCGTGCCCGCGCTCCCGGCAGCTGCCCCGGCACGGCCCCGGCTCCCGCTGCGCTCTGCCCTGCGCTGAGCCCGCCCGGCTGCAGCCGCACGCCCTGACTGCACGGGCCTGAGATGGGACACAACAACTGCAAACCCCAGCCCGGAGACCTGATCGAGATCGACCGGCAACGGCATCAGCACTGGGCGCTCTACCTGGGGGATGGATATGTCATCAACTTGACACCTGTAGGTAAGAGTATTGCAGACTGGCAAGGTGCAGGGTGCTCCCGGAGCCCTGCCTCCCTCCATGGGCTGGTGGTGGACCCTGTGTGTGTAGATGACCTTTCCAGCAGCAAAGGAAATCCCTCTGAGGTCTTGGACGGGCCAGAGAGGGTCTGCTTGCTGCTATATCTCCTCCCTGCCATATACAGGTAAACAGGACCTAGAGCTGGGAGTCCACAATATGCCAATATTCATCAGAAAGGTGAAGAAGCAGCGCCTGAAGGAAGTAGTGCAAAAAAATAAATGGCGTGTCAATAACGAGTCTGATCGGTACCACACCCCTCTCCCAGTGGAGGAGATCATTCAGTGTGCTGAGCATTATATTGACCAGGAGTTGACATACCATGAGTTTGGTAGCAACTGTGAGCACTTTGTGAAAAAACTCCGCTGTGGTGGCAAGGTGAGTGCCATGGGGTGAGCCCCTGGGTGCTGCTCGCTGTGAGCTGCGGCGCTGGGACACAGCCTGCAGCCTGCATGGGGCCAGCCGAGTGCCAGGCTGGGCTGCAAAGCAGCGCTGCCTCCCCAGAGCCCCTGGCCCTGGAGGGTCACTGTGCTGTGTCTGCACCCTGACAGTGCCCTCTCAGTGAGTGCCACCTCCTCGGGGTACAAACCTGGGTGTTGTCCCTTCTGCTCATGGGGCACTTGTCTCTTAATTATCCTGTTTTTCCCTGCATATTCTCCATTACCATACCTGGGGCTAAATGAAAGTGCTCCTCATGTTTCCAGCCTGTGTTTTGCTTTCCCTTTACCTGCCAAGATAGCAATTGTTTGCATACTGGCAATATTCTCTGTGCTGTCACCTTCAATGTGTGGGTCGGCTTGCTGGGGCTGAAATCCAGAGAGAAAGAGAGCACTGATGGGCCATCAGGAAAAGCTCAGAGAAAGGCTTTGGAGGGAAAGCCCAGGGATTCCTTGGCTGCATGGGGTCTCTGCCCTGTTTTTGCTACCCTTACAGAAATAATTAAATGAAAGCTTTAATAAAATGTACATAGACTCATAATGCCTAGAATCTTCTTCTATATGAATACAGGGTTGTGTGCAATTTCAGCATTGTGGCCTTTGCTTACCCCTGCTGTCCTGTTAAGAAATTCTAAGTCAAGCAATACTAAGTCAAGCATCTCATCGATTCAAGGTGATCCCCAGCAGCACTGGTCTGTTTGTCACATCTGCTTTTACTTTTTGTCTGTGATGCTTTTTGTGGTAGTCTGCAAGCACTTGGAAGCAAATTTTCATTTCCTTACCCTGCTACCTCCCATCTACTGCTTTGCTGAGAACTGGTGCAAGCTTTTTACCCTCATCCTTGTTTTATCAGCTACATCCTATTGGCTCTTTCTGTGGAAAAACTGATTTTAACCTTAACTTTCTCACCAAGTAAACGAAATTTATTGCTGAGTGTTTACCGTGTGTTTTCCAGCTGGGGGCTTTTGTAGCAGGTAAATTGCACATTCTTGATGTGACAGAAGATGAGAAGTACCCCAGCCCTGGGGACCTGATCGAGATCAAAAGGGGGCTTTACGCGCAGTGGGCCCTCTATGTGGGGGATGGATATGTCATCCACGTAACAGCTATAGGTAAGGCTGGTGTAGCTTGGCAGGGTGCAGGGGGTGTTGGGGTGCTCCAGGAGCGCTATGGCCCTCCATGGGCTGCTGGAGGACCCTGTGTGTGTAGATGAGCTTTCCAGGAGCAGTCCAAAAGCCATCTGAGGTTTTGGGGGGCCAGACAAGGTCTGCCTGCCTGCCTTATCTTCTCCCTGCCTTCCCCAGATGAAGAAGCCCCATTCCTGTCAGCCAGCAGTGAGTCAATGCACACTGGAAAGGCCGGGGTTATGAAGGAGCTCCTGGAAAAGGCAGCTGTAAATGGTGACTGGGCTGTCAACAACAACTATGACCGATACCGCGCTCCTCTGCCCGTGGAGGAGATCATCTGGCGTGCTGAGGGCTGCGTTGGCAAGGAGCTGCCGTGTGATGTGCTCAGCAGAGGCTCTGAGGATTTTGTGACACAGCTCCGCTATGGTGGCCAGGTGAGTGCCACGGGGTGAGCCCCTGGGTGCCTCCCAGGGCACCTCCTGCTGCTCGCTGTGAGCCGCGGCACTGGGACACAGCCTGCAGCCTGCATGGGGCCAGCCGAGTGCCAGGCTGGGCTGCAAAGCAGCGCTGCCTCCCCATGGCCCCTGCCCCTGGAGGGTCACTGTGCTGTGTGTGCACCCTGACAGTGCCCTCTCAGTGAGTGCCACCTCCTCGGGGTACAAACCTGGTGTTGCCCCTTCTGCTCATGGGGCACAGCAGCCTCTCACTGATTGGTTTACCCTGAGTATCCCTGCCTTATCTTTATTATCATGCAGGGAGAGCATGAGTGCCCCTCATGTTTCCTATTGGCTCTTTCTGTGGAAAAACTGATTTTAACCTTAACTTTCTCACTAAGTAAACTAAAATTCTCAGTGAGGGTTTACTGTGTGTTTTCCAGCTGAAGGCTTTTGTACATGGAGAAATGTACATTCTTAATATGACAGAAAACAAGAATTACCCCAACCCTGGGGACCTGATCGAGATCGAGAGACCGGCGTACCAGCACTGGGCCCTCTACTTGGGGAAAGAATATGTCATCCATGTGACTGATACAGGTAAGGCTGGTGCAGCCTGGCACGGTGCAGAACAGATGCTGGGGTGCTGCAGGATGTCTATGTCCCTCCATGGGCTGCTGGAGGACCCTGTGTGTGTAGATGAGCTTTCCAGGAACAGTCCAAAAGCCATCCGAGTTTTTTGAGGGGCCAGAGAAGGTCTGCCTGCCTGCCTTATCTTCTCCCTGCCTTCCTTAGATGAAGGAGCCTCATCCCTGTCAGCCAGCAGTAGGACAATACTCTCTAGAAAGGCCATGGCAAAGAAGCAGCTCCTGAAGGATGTGGTGGGAAATGATAAATGGCATGTCAACAACAAGTATGACTGTCACCGCATTCCTTTCCCAATGGAGGAGATCATCCGGCGTGCTCAGCGCCAGATCAATAAGGAGGTGCCGTATCGTTTGTTCCTCAAGAACTGCGAGCACTTTGTGACAATGCTGCGCTACGGAGAAGGAGTCTCTGATCAGGTGAGTGCCCCGGGGTGAGCCCCTGGGTGCCTCCCAGGGCACCTCCTGCTGCTCGCTGTGAGCCGCGGCGCTGGGACACAGCCTGCAGCCTGCATGGGGCCAGCCGAGTGCCGGGCTGGGCTGCAAAGCAGCGCTGCCTCCCCAGAGCCCCTGCCCCTGGAGGGTCACTGTGCTGTGTCTGCACCCTGACAGTGCCCTCTCAGTGAGTGCCACCTCCTCGGGGTACAAACCTGGGTGTTGTCCCTTCTGCTCATGGGGTGTATCTGACCCGGATTCAATTACCCTGATTATCTTTGCCTGTTCTCGATTATCATGTCTGGGAGTAAATATAAGTGCTTATAATGTCTCTAACCTGTGTTTTACTTTCCCTTTACAGGGCAAGAAAGCACTTCAGAATTTAAATTCAATTTCTTCTGCAGTGTCAGCTGGGATAGGAGCTGCCAGTTTTATTGCTGTGGCTGGCATTCCTGTGGTTGGTCTTCCTCTTATGGCCTGTGTCCCTTTTGTGGCTGCTGGTGGTGGTGGTCTTCTTGCCAGTATTGGTTTTGCTTCCAGCAATATTGCTCATTCCTTAACTTCTGCCAAATTTGAAAAGGCAGGGAAAGATATACTAGAACAGAGTTGCTGTTAGGAAGAGGTCAAGCAAAGCATGGAGTTCCTGATCACTGTTCAGCTTTTGCCACAAGTGTAATGGAGATAGCAACTGCTGTGATAATTAATTCAAAGACTTATTAAAATGTAAAAATCCAAACTCATCTTGCCTATAAACGTCTTATCTGTTTGAGGATAGCTTTGTGTGCAAGTAATTTCTCCTTAACTATCCTTCTCCACCTGCCTAAGACGCTGACTTCTTTCTCAAGTTTTTGAGTGTTTTTTCCCCCCAAGTCTCCCAAAGTCCCATTTTACAGCAAGCTCTCTTTCTGGGCCTTCACCAGCCAGCTAGGAAGCACTCAGACCCTTCTAGCTCCCTTTCTTCTTTTGGAAGAGATGAAGTTGTATTATGGGGCTTTTTCCCGACTCTCAGGGTCCCTACAGCCAATCTACACTCTGACTGTAATTATAGCTTTTCAGAACCTTTTCAACTTGAAGCCCTCTATGGCCTTTCTCCCCTGCTGAGTGATACCAATAAAGATAAAAACCTATGGTGAGAACCATGTACTGATACACAGTGGGGATGCAGCAATGACCCAAAACATCAGAATGGTACCAACAAACTGAATCAGGCCCTAAATGATCAGGTGTTCAGAGCAAAGCAGAAGCTTGACCTTCCCTGCTCAAAACAGAAAACACAAATCCTACTTACAGCTACAATATTGTGGGTTTAGTGCTGCAGATGGTTTCTGTGTTTAGGATCTATGTTTAGGGTCTTTCAGAATACTAGAAAACAGCTCAAATCCCATAGACAAATATTTTTGCCTTAAGGTATTGCAGAGCAAATTAACTACCCTTCATCTGCAGCAGTTTGTTTCTTTTGTTTTATTCTGCAGCTAGAATTTTAATACCCAGATTAAGCTGCTGTTGTTTTTACATTACTAATTTGCTCAACAGTTCTGGGAATCAAGCATATTTCTACACAAACAGGAAATGATCTTCACATGCATTTTGTTAAAAGGCATTTTTCTGGCTGCTCCATGACTGTCTGCAGCATCTGGATTTAAAGATTATTAAGTAAGGGCAGGCAAATCTATTCTGTGCTCACCATTATATTTTGCCCTTTCACATGATTCCACTTCTGTACCTGATTGAGAAATATTAGCTACCATGCACAAAGCTCTCCTTACATCACAAAAAAACCTCCCAGAACTGAAATTTGAGGGTCAAACCCAATTCAAACCCTCATTCTTCTAAATAGTTTTTACAGTTCCTGAGGAATTAAGCTTGGTTTATCAGCACCTTTGAGACTTGTGCACTCCTGCTCACAACTCCGTAACCTCAGAGCAGGCAGCAGTACCTGTGAGCAAACTCACCAGATCAGCTTCAGCAGACACTGGAGGCTGGGAACTTTGGAGGTGAAAGATGAGGTAACAGACACCTCCTGTTCTAACATTGATATCTCTGCATGGACCACTTTCAAAACCTGAAATCCATGGCAGTCACAAGGTGCAAAAATATCTTTCCCACCTCATAATTAATGAATTGTTTTTTCAGATAGGTGTCGTGTCTTGTTAATGCTTAAAATGCAATATCTGTAATTAGTGAGAGTTGGGGGAGAAAGCTTTCCTTTGGGGGACCTGGAGGAGTATCTTTGGGCTCAGACCCCCAGACTATACCAGGTTGTTTTCAGCTCTGTTAGGCTGCTGGACAGCGCCAGCAGCTGTGCAGGAGTTGCTGGAGCTGGGACTGTTTGTAAATGTGGGGGTCTGCCTTGGCGTTTTTCTCTCAGCCTCATTTGGTGCTGCCTTCTGTGTGTGCTGGAGAGGGGCAGGGGCTCTGCCTGGGTGAGGGGTGCTGGTGCTCCAGATGCAGAGGGGTGCCTGTAAGGGAACTGGCAGAGAAGCAGCTGCAAAGGGTGCAAGGGGGGATTGCTTGTGAAGAAAGGGAGGGTGGGAAAGATCAGCCTGGAGCAGCACTAGATGGGACAATTACACTTCATTGATTTGGTTCCAGAAGGAAAAAAAAACAACAAACCTTACTTGACTTCTGAAACCCTTCAACAAGGTTGGACTTCTGGCCAGGAGACATCCTGCCAAAGATAGGCCCATTCACCACTAACTGCAAGAAAAAGCAGTGGGCTGCCTTGGCAGTATTTGTGCTTCTACTGCTCCACTGAGGCAGGATTAGACCTCCCTGGTGGGTCCCTGACACTTGTGAAATGTCCTAATCCCAATTCTCAAACCTTGACACTGTTTTGCTCCCCTTAGGGTTCAGCTCTAACTGAGTATTTATCCTGCTGTTTTCTGCCTCACTTGTTCTGTCAGAGGTGCTGAGAAGCCAGTGATCACCACATGCTCTGCAGCAGCCTTTGGAGCAGCCAGGCATTGTAAGGGTTTCCCAAGTGCAGAACAGATGGCTGATGACAGCAGCAATAACACTGAGGCCTGAGGTTTCTTCTACCTGAAACTCTGGCTAGAGAGTATAAAATCAGAGAATCTGTCCCAGCACCAGCTGTTTTATGGACTGAGTGACAGGATTTGAAGATCTCTGCTGCTAGAGGTGGTTATTTCACATTTCTGATGGCCCTGCTGAGCAAGGCCATTGCTGGCTGTGGAAGTGGCACATGGTCATGGGGTTGATGTTTTTAATTAGACTGGAACTGAGGAGGTGACCATGGAGTGACTCCATTATGCAGCTGCTCACAGCACCACAGCCACCCCTGGCATCTCAGGTGTTACAGGATGCTGAAAGCAAGCTGTTCAGGTTAAACCTGAGGCAGAGTGGGACCTTGCCTGGAGTTGTCAAAATGTGATGTTACAGCTGCTGACAGAAAAACTCATTCTCCCAATGGAACACCGCTGACATAAAATAAAATAGAGGGACAAGTAAGTGCATTGTTTTCTCTGAACCTACTTTGGCAGCAAGCTGTAGAAGTGCGTGACAATTATCTGAGAGGACTTTCCATTCATTGCAAAATGGTTTCAGGCTTCTTCCAATGTGATCTTTACCTGACTATGGGCATGTAATTACTAGAAATAAGACAACATTTAGTTTCAGACTGAGGTTATAACGTACCATTTCACTTCCACCTTGTCAGCCGCCCTCCAGGAAACTAGGGACACAACCTTCTGCAATATCCCTTTGTAAAACTTCCACCTGGCAATTCTTGATTCTTTACACATTTTTCCGCATACCAGCCTGCTGTTAGCCACAGGCTGCTAGTTCAGACCCTGAAATTTGGTCCAGCAAATTGTCACCCAGACAAGCATGTATAACTGCATTAGTTCTGCACACGTCAGGCATGACTGAGGTAGCCAATGCATCTGCAAAGCCTTGCCAGTTATTCATGTAATAATGTCCTGAGGAAACAATTACTCTATTAATAATTTCTCCCCAATGGATGCATAGTCCTTACCACCCTTCCATATACCCTGGGGTAGATATGAACTAACCCTTAGGTTTCCTCTGTTCCTCAGAGCTACTTCTGAATCCCCAGAAAGAAGACAGCTATTTGGTATTAAAAGCATTAAATTCCCTCTGGCACTCAAAAGCAACCATCCCTGGCTGTGCTTACATAGGGAGCAGCTGTGTTTGCTTTGCATTTCTCTGCCAATCACCAGGCAAGGGAAGCTGGACTGGAACCCTCCAGTTTGTCTGCTTCACTGAGCCTGACTTTGCTCCCTGTTAGTAGTAAATCACATGACTGAAACAATTGCTTTAATGCTTATGTGTTAATGTAAGAATTCTTCTAAATACTAAATTTTCAATTTTCTGATAATTCCTGTGATTCTAAAAGCAAAGAGTTTCTTTTAACTCTGCAGTGTTTTTCTGCATATACTTTCTACTACACACTGCAATCACAGCTTTATGGTGTAGCATCTAATGATTAATTATGCTGGAATCAATAGAGAAACAATCTAGACAGGATAAGAGGAGATACTGGGAAACCTAAGAAAGTAGAACATAATGTTGAAGACATATTTCTTCCTGCTGTTAGCTTGTTTGGAGGCTTGTGTCATTAGCTCTTATGTGGTTCTAAACTAGATCTTTCTATTGTCTGTTAAAACAGTTTTCACAGAATCACAGAATTGTTATGCTTGGAAGGGACTCTAGAGATTATCCAGTCCAACCCCCCTACCAGGCAGCATTACCTGGAGCAGGGCACACAGGAATCACCCATGTGGGTCGTGAACATCTCCAGAGAGGGAGAACTCCATGACCTCCCTGGGTAGCTCTTCCAGTGCTCTGCTGCCCTCAATAGAAAGAAGTTCTCCCTCATATTGAGGTGGAGCTGTCTGTGTTTTAGTTTATGACCACTGCTCCTCCGCTGGAAAAAGCGTGGCACCTTCCTCTTGGCACCCACCTGTGGGAGGATGCATTGTGAGAGAGTAGAGGCAGTGCTGAAGGTGATCTCGCCCCTGAGGAGTTGCATCTGTACTAATTACCCAAGAGTAGGAACAGCCTTGCCCTTCACAGGTCACAGCTGTGTCCAACAAGGATGGTCCAGTAAGGATGGGTGTTATAAAAGAGTGGATGGGAGGAGAGTTGGGGGCAGTTGGCTGTGCTGTGAGGAGTAGGGGTCAGATGGTTGTGCTAGGGACAGGAAGGAGTCAGCTGGCTGCGTGGAGGGAAGGGACAAGGAGTCAGTGCTGGGAGAACTGCCCATGAGAACCGCCAGGGAGAAGGTATGAGAGTTTTACAGTAGAAAGATAACCTGACAGTGACAGTTCCCATCCACCGTCAATTGATGCTGGCACCCACCTGTGAGATATTCATATTGATTAATGAGATTTCCTCTCACTTTTCCCCAGACTATGCAGGCCCAGCTCCCACAATTTCTCCTCATAAGAGAGATACTCCAGACCCCAAATTATCTTTGTGGCCTTTGCAGTACTCTCAGGTAGCTCCTTGTCTTTCTTGCACTGAGGAGCTCTTTGCAGGTCAGTGACACCTTAAATAACAGACCCTGGAGCCACAGATCATTGGTTCAGTGTTTGCTTGGGATTGTTTTGAGGTAATCAGTGAATCACAGGAGTGACCTGAGTTTCAAATTTGCAGACAAATTTGAGTACAAGCCTATAATATTCTTGATAGACAAAAAAGAAAAACCTGTGCTTATTTGCAGCAAGAGGACAGAAGCCTTGGATTGTGTATTAATATC